GGATCTACCATAATTTAGCTGATGTTTCCCCAAACAGATTTTCTCATTTAAAAAAGTCAGCTACACTTTGGTAAATCCTGAGGCCAAGTGTGTGTGTGTGGTCTCCGCTCCAGCCCCCATGTCGTAGGTCTTCACCTCCCAAGCCTCTTTTAATCCAACCTCCTACCCTGTGTCCATTCAAGCCCCTAAGGCCCTGCCAGGCACCTGGTTAACTGGTCTCAAATAAATGTATTAAATCAGGAAGTTAGGCATTCACAAGTCAAAGTACTCACACAATTGTGTAAAGAGGAAATCTGACAAAGGAAAAAATGTCCAACCTCTCTAGTAATCAGAAGAATGCAAATGTGGTGTAAATTTTCAATTACCAAATGAACAAAAGTGAAAAAGAATGACAATACCAGGGCTTGAGAGACTTCAGAGTAATGTGAGGTTTCCTGTACATTGGTGAAAGCGTCAATTGGCAGAAGCTTTCTGGAGAACAGTTTGGCAATGTATATCATACACTTAAAAATGTACAGACACAGCAATTCCACCTCTGAGAGTTTATCCTAAGGAAATTATTGAGCAGGGCCAAGGATATTCAAGCCAGCCTTATTTATATAAAGAATAATTAGGGGGCGCCCAGGTGGCTCAGCAGAATCTACCTTCCGCTCAGGTCATGATCTCAGGGTCTTGGGATCGAGCCCCGCATCAGGCTCCTTGCTCAGCGGGACGCCTGTTTCTCCCTCTCCCACTCCCCCTGCTTGTGCTCCTGCTGTTGCTATTTTCTCTCTCTCTGTCAAATAAATAAATAAACCTCTAAAAAAAAAAAGAAAACTTGGAGGATGACTGGGTAGCTCAGTCGGTTAAGCATCTGCCTTAGGCTCAGGTCATGATCCCAGGATCCTGGAATCGAGTCCCGCATCGGGCTCCCTGTTCAGTGGGGAGTCTGCTTCTCCCTCTTCCTCTGCAAACTGCCCCCCCATTCATACTCATTCTCTCTCTCTCAAATGAAAAAATGTTTTTTTTTAAAGATTTTATTTATTTATTTGACAGAGAGATAGAGGCAGAGAGCACAAGCAGAGGGAATGGCAGAGGGAGAGGGAGAAGCAGCTCCCTACTGAATAGGGAGCCTGATATGATGTGGGGCTCGATCCCAGGCCCCTGGGATCATGACCTGAGCCTAAGGCAGACGCTTAACCATTTGAGCCACCCAGACGCCCTCAAATGAATAAATAAAATCTTAAAAAAAAAAAAAAGAATAAGAAATAACCTAAATGTCCACCAAGTGAGGGTTATTCATATCAATTGTGGTCCATTCATGCAATAAAATAAATACTAAAGAGCCTTTAAAATGATATATTTATAGACATTAGTAGGCATGAAAGAATGTCCAATAGGTATTATGTCCTTATGGTGTCATTAGTGTAAAATTGTGTGTGCACATGTATACATGTACATTCCTGCACACAGAGATCTATAATGATAGTCATGGAGGGGTGCCTGGGTGGCTCAGTTTGTTAAGTGTTGGACTTTTGATTTTGACTCAGGTCATCATTTCAGAGTCGCGGGATCGAGCCCCGCATTGGGCTTCACACTGGGCATGCATGGAGCCTGCTTAAGAGTCTCTTGTCTCTCTTCCCCTCCTCCTTTGCCCCTCCCCCCTCCAATACACAAGCGCGCTCTCTCTCTAAAAATAAAATAAAATAATAATAATGATAGTTGGGGCGCCTGGGTGCCTCAGTCGTTAAGCGTCTGCCCTCGGCTCAGGTCACGATCCCAGCGTTCTGCGATCGAGCCCCGCATCGGGCTCCCTGCTTGGCGGGAGGCCTGCTTCTCCCTCGCCCACTCCCCCCCCCCCCCCTTGTGTTCCCTCTCTTTCTTTGTCTCTCTCTGTCAAATAAATAAAATCTTAAAAAAAAAAAAATAGTCATTGAAATATCAACCATGGTGTCCTCTGGTTGGGAGATTTTGAAAGCCTCTATTTTGTTATTTTTTATTGTTTCTAAAATTACAAAGGCAATATTCTTTATTTTGACATTAATAGCTGACGCTAACAGAATGTGCATTTTGTGCCGGGCTCTGCTCTAACTGCTGCCTACTATTATTATTCCTGAAGAAAACAAAATGCTAAAGTCCACAGCTGAGAAATGATGGAGCTAGGACTCACAACCTTGTTGTCTGGCTCTACAGGCTGCCATGTTACTACAATAATTAAACCCAAATACAGTGAGAGTCTCTTAGCTCCTCCCCCACCAGCACACCTACTCCTCTCCCCAGACTCATTGTCAACCATTGGCGGGTAGCCTTCCAAAGCTTCTGCCAGGCACTTTTATTTTTTTTTTTATTTTATTTTTTTTTTTTTAAGATTTTATTTATCTATTTGACAGAGAGAGAGACAGCGAGGGAACACAAGCAGGGGAAGTGGGAGAGGGAGAAGCAGGCTTCCCGCCGAGCAGGGAGCCCGATGCGGGGCTCGATCCCAGGACCCTGGGATCATGACCTGAGCTGAAGGCAGATGCTTAACAACTGAGCCACCCAGGCGCCCCTGCCAGGCACTTTTAGACACATGTGGCCAAACACACGGATGTGTGTGTTTCTTTTTGTATAAAATGGGATGGTATTGTTTATCCCATCAGTATGCATAGTTCACCCTCATACTGTTTACCCCTGAGGGGTATTCTGCAGCAGGGATGTAGGGAATGCTTGTGACCATACCCCTACTGGCAACTGGCAGTTTCCAGCTTTTCACCTTCACGAACAAAGCTGCAGTGAATATCCTTGTCTACATTCTACTGTATGCAAATATGTAATGATATTTCTGTGATAATTTCCTAGAAATGGAACCACTGCATCAAAAGACATGCACACTAAATGTTGAAAGCAGCTGCCCAATTCCCCACACCAAGACTGTGCTGCTCCACTCTCACATACAGCGTAGACATACATGCTACACTATGGACGCACATCCACTAATCTTGCACCCACGTCCCCGTGTTTTCACCAGCACGGGAAGTCGCCAATCTTTTTCATTTTTGCCAGTATGAGAAAAGAAGAATGTCATTCCATTTGCAATAATTTAAATGTCCTTGATTCCTAGTGAAGTTGAAAGTCTTTTGGCCATCTTCATTTCTTTTTGGAACTGTTCACTTTTTCAGTTGGGTAATTTGAGTTTTTCTTATTGATGTGAAGGAGCTGTGTTATAAATACCAGTCTTTTGATGCCCTGGGTGTTGTAAATATTTTCCCACTGTGTTACATTTCTTGGAACTTTGTCTTATTTTGTCATACAGAAGTTTTAGTTTAGTTTATTTTTATGTAACAAAAGCTGCCCGTTTTTTTTCCCTTGTGGTTTTACATCTTGTTTAGGAATTCTTTCTAGACAACCAAGAATATAAGAAGACTCTCCTGTATTCTCTTCTAGTGTTTTTGCAGTGTTGTTTATACATTTTAAATTATTTTAATTGTGGTAAAATATATATAACATGAATTTTACCATTTCAACCATGTTAAGTGTACGGTTCGGTGACCTAAGATACATTTACCTAAGGTGATGGAGTGACCATCAGCACCGTCCATCTCCAGAACTTTTTTCATCTTGCAAAACTGAAACTCTCTACCCATCAAACAGTAACTCCTACTCCCTGCTCCCCTTAGCCCCTGGCAGCCACCGTTCTACTTCCGGTCTCTATGAATTTAGTTACTCCAGGTCTCCACAAAAGTGGAATCACACAGTGTTCATCTTTTGTGCCTGGCTTCTGTCACCTAGGGTAAAGTCTTCAAGGTTCATCCATGTTGTAGCATGTGTCAGAGTTTCTTCTCTTTTTAAGAGTCAGTAATAGTCCATCATAGATTGATGTTTAGACTTTAATTCATGTAGAATTTAATATTGTGTTTGGTGAGAAGTAGGTGGCAGGTAAGGTTTTTTTTTTTTTATTATTTTTAAGTTGTTCGCCTTTAAACAACTCCTCTATCAAAACCCAAATTCCCATGAGGGCCCAGGTCTGCTTCTGGACTGTTGTTCATTGATTCCTTTGTCTATATCTGGACTGGAATCAGTCTCCAGCTTTTAGGCAAGTTTGTATATCTGCTAACAGCATGACCGTCCCCATTCTTCTTTTTTAGACATCCCCCAACCATTTTGGGACACTTACTTTTTCAGAAGAACTTCAGAATTAGTCACGTGGTCCAAAACTACTCTTTTGGGATTTTGATTGGAATAACTTGAAGCTACCCACTAACTTGGGGTTGACATCTTGCAAAGCAGAGCCCGCTGGCGGGATGCTCCTGGCAGCTCTCCAGGCTGTCTGGTGCTGCCCTCTGCTGGGCTGTCTCAGGCCTTCCCACTCGTCTCCACCCAGCCTCTGACTCTGTCCTCTAGAAAGAACAAATTCCTATACATCCTTGGTTTAATTTCTTTCCTTCCCCAGATGACATATGGATTTTAATATGAACTATGAGAACCAAAACCCAGAGTGGACCTGTAGAATCCCCAGGCCCTGCAGCAGAAGCCGTGGGGAAATACTTTTTTGTCAGGAACGCTTTCTCTGCTACCCGTAAACCACACCCCGCAAGGCAGACACTGAACACAGGTGTGACCGGCCCTGAGTAGCCAGGCTCCAGCTGATACTTTTTTTTAAACAGCTTTATTATTATAGGTTATCATCAACTTCCCTCATTTTAAATGTACAATTAAATGATTTTTTAGTGAATGTAGAGTTGTGCAACCATCACCAAATCCAGTTTGGGAACATTTCTGCCACCCCCCAAAAGACCCCTCATGCCCATTATGGTCCTCCTCTGGAATGTCACTTTGCCCTGAGCACAACCACCTCAGGAGAAGTGAGGGGGAGAGTGGGAGGGTTCCCAAGATCCTCTGCCTGTGAGTCTAGCACCAATGTCCCAACAACATGCAGCGCATGCACATGACTTGCCAGCTAACACCCCTTGCCCCAAGGAGACCTCATGGGGGCTGCTCCTGAGGGCAGTGGCCATGCTGAGCCCCATCCTAACCCCTTCCAGGTGGATAAAGTTTGAAGAAAAGGTAGAGGAAGGAGGCGAACGCTGGAGCAAGCCCCACGTGTCCACGCTGTCGCTGCACAGCCTCTTCGAGCTGCGGACCTGCTTGCAGACAGGGACGGTGCTGCTGGATTTGGACAGTGGCTCCTTACCACAGATCATAGGTGAGGCAGGGACCGCTGGGCCCCCAGAAAGCCATGGCAGCCTGTGCCCACACCTGGTCTGTCTGACGCCCGCCTGATTCTGTGGACACCAGGCTCTGGGTCTGACGCTCCCAAGGCAGCGGCACAGTGGCTCCAGGTCTGGGGCCCATGTAGAGCTCATTCTCTGAAACGCCATCCAGCAAGGGAGCAAAAGGGAGAGGGGCTTCCTAGCGTTGTCAGAGATAACCTATTGCCATGGCAACCCGTTTCTTGTCAGAATAAAGGGATCATCATTCATCTTTAGGAAATTAGCTCTCATTTAGTGGAGCAGTGAAGGAAGACAATAAGGCTGGCCTTATTGTCCCTAAAACGTTTTGCCAATTTTGTTCTACTGCATTCAAATTTGCCACAAGCATTTTGTCCCAGATGCTTTTCTAAAAGGAATTCATGTTAGGACGAAAACCATCGAACACAGAACTTTTGTGCTTCTTAGGGTACTTCATTGACTTTTCTCAATAGCGCCGATAGAGCCTAGAATTGTATACACACACACAGAGACGCACACGCGTGCACATACCCAAAGGCCTGTGCCCTGCTCGTGTTTCCACAGTTTGTGGCAAAGCTGGGACTATTTCCACACCTCCTGCCTCCTTTAGTCACTTTTAATCCCACTGATAATAGATGAAACTGAAGACCCCCACACCCCTGGTCCTTCTGTCCCACCTGGACAAGGCATGTCTGTTCCCCACTTAGATGACGTCATTGGGAAGCAAATTGAGGACGGCCTCCTGCGACCCGAGCTCCGGGAGAGGGTCAGCTATGTCCTCCTGAGGAAACACCGTCACCAAACCAAGAAGCCCATCCACCGCTCCTTGGTTGACATTGGAAAGTCTGTCTCCTCCACCACCAGTGAGTCGGGCCATAGGCTGGTGGGCAGCGGGCATGTGGAGGCTGGTGTCAAGTCCCAGGGTCTGGGTGAGCCCATCTTGGTGGCTGGAGAGTCTTGGCAACGTGGAGGCTTCCTGATCTTCATGATCCTGGAGAAATTCTGAGGTTCTGGGGATCCCTCAACCTCCTTCTCTGGCAGGCCTGCAGAGACCCCAGCCATACCCCAGTGTTGTCCCCAACAGCAGAACAGAACTAGTCCTAGGAAGAGAGCTGGTTCTCAGCCTGGGCTGCACATGGCGATCACCTGGGAGTATAAAACATGTCCCAGTGCCTCAGCCTCACCCTGAGAGCTGGATTCAGTTGGTCTGGGGGATGGCCTGGGAACAGGGAGTTTAGAAAGCTCCCCAGGAGATTCTCTTGTGTGGTTAGGATTGCAAAATGCTGGTAGAGATGGCATGTATGTGGAAAGAGCTTGAAAGTCTCCCACTGAACCCCCAAGAAGAGCCAAGAGCCTTGGCAGAAAATGAAGCACATCAAGGTGATAGAAGGTTCTGGGTTCATCTCAAGTGTGCCAGGGCTTGTAAATCTGGCAGCTGTGTCACTGTGATTGACAGAGCCTGGGGCCGTTAGGGAGAGTGGATTTTTCCAAGCACACATCTCCAACCTGCAACTCTCCACTCTTGATACTGCAGAGTCGAGATGCCCAGACAGTAGCCTTGCTGGACCTGTCAGATAAATGCAGCAATCAGAACAAAGTCGATGAGGTTGCTAAAGAAGGAATCTTAAGGAATCTCTTTAGATGAATTGTTTAAAATGGAAAGTGTTTAGCATATGATAATAACAGCAGGTGTAAGAATCAGCACTTAGCATATTCCAGGCACTATTCTGAGTGCTTCGCGTATATTAACTCACTTCATCTTCACAGTAACCCCGTGGCTAGGTACTGTTCTTGTTATCCCCATTTTACAGATGAGCAGCCTGAGGCACCGAGGGATTGAGTTACTTGCCTAAGATCACACAGCTAGTAAGTGGTGGAGTCGGGGATGAACCCAGCTGTCTACGACACCTGCTGCCTATTTAACAATTGTGTCTCTATCTCATTCTCAAGAGTACAAATACTTTCTCTGTAATCTCATTCAGACTGTTAACTTATTTCAAAGGCAAAATATAAAACAACTAAAATAGGCTTTCTTCCAGAAAGGGGAAGAGACACGTCTCAAGGCCCAGCTTTGTGTAGGTGGAATGACTGGAAATGTAAGCCATGCTGACAGCAAGGCTGCTGACGCCAAATCCCTTCTGTTCCACCTCCCAGATCGCAGCCCGGCCCGGAGCCCAGTGGCTGGTCCGAGCCTCCACCACTCCACCGAGGACCTGAGGATGCGGCAAAGCGCCAGTTACGGCCGGCTCTGTGAGTGTGTTCTCAGCAGCTGCCCGTGGTGGCTGGGGAATGCCAGCTGCCGTAAGCTTTCGTGGGTGGGGGAGATAAACGCCAGGACCTGTCTAGAATTCCCAGGACAGGCATCGGGAGAAATCTAACCTTCACCCCAAACCCGGGCTGTCTTTGGGGCCTAACTTACTACCCTAAGTGTCTAGGTAATTGCTCTGATAGATGCAACTCTAAATCAGATGCTGGCATAATCAGTACCTAATCCTATGGTGCTAGGCATTTTTGTCTTAGTCTGTACCTTTGTTTCCCCCAGAATGGTCATCAGTCTCGTTTTTGGTAAGAAGTCTTCCTCGAAACTGAATTAGAAACAGGCTAGGGACTTTCCTCTGCCATGCCTGGGTGACAGCCTTGTGCACCGCGACCATGGGATGCTGGCGGTCACAGCCCCCCACGTCCCGGGAATGGGTGAGGGTGCTCGTGAGGTGCACGGTCACAGACGGGGCTTTTCAGGCACTTCATCAGGGGGAACACACAGGCGAGCTGTGAAGCAAAGAAGAGAGAGAATCTGCAAAATGGAAAGAAAAGAGTGAGAAGAGTATGTTCCTTGAAGTACTTTTACTAAAAGGCCAAGATATGAATAAATTATGTCAGCTGTGCCCTGACCAGGCCCAAGGAATGATTTGGAGGGCAATGTGGGCCCCTGGCCAAGGGTTCAGCTACAGGTTTTTCTCTCCGTTGTTGGTGGCCCCAGGTCCCCAGTCTTCCTGGCCTTGGTTGTTCCACATAGGGATGCCAGGAGGCAGCAGGCAGCGAATGGCTCTGGGGCGAGCCTGCCTCCCAGTTGTTCATTGTGTCTGAGGTCACCCTTATGGCCAACACTGCGGTGAAGGAGGCCCGGAGAAAAGGTTCTGTGTGCACACCACCCCACCCCGGGGTGGCCCCTGGAAGGCTCAAAGAGGAGACATGCCTGAGTCTTGGAGAATAAATTGGGGTTTTCCAGGAGCACATGGTAGTGTGGGGGCGACGCAGGAGAGGGGTGTTCCAAACAAAGGAAACGAACAGCAGAAGGAAGGCACTGTGAAGGGGGAGGTTCACTTCATGAGAAGGGCAGGGCCTGAGGGCAAGAGGGTCAAACTGAAGAGGGCCCACGTGCCCTGCAAAAGGACCCTCCCTGCCTCTACTGTGAAGGTAATGGGGACCTCTGAGTTTAAGCAGAGGCAAGCCATGATCCTGGTGCGTTGAGTTTAAGGTGCCAGGTGGGGCTGCCCAGTGGATTCTGGGGCTCAAGAGAGAGATGTAGAGTGGAGACCCAATCTGGACATCCTCAGCCCAGGGTGGGCATGAAGCAATGGGGGATGGAGGGGGTGAAGCCTCTGCAGGGAGTGAAGGCAAAGCAAGGCCTTGAGCCCAGCAGGAGAGGATCCTGGATACAAATAAGAAGGGAGCCAAGAGAGGGCAGAGTTCTGGCTAGAGGATGCCACAGGCCACAGAAAGCCAAGAAGTAACAGGTCTGACGGTGCCCATTGGATGCGGCTGCTGCTGGGGAATGAGAGCTGACTTTCTCCTGCCTCAACGGGGGAAGGAACCACTGGGCAGTTCAAATAATTTGCCATCACTGTTCTCCGCACAAGGGAGCCCCGCCTTCCTTCCCTCTGCCAGCCAAATCCTTGACCATCTTGCAGCACGGTCAAGGTCATGGGGGAGTCCAAGTCCAAGCTCAGCGACACCTGGCACCTCACCTGATAATGTGTCTGTGTCCCTCCCCTCCTTCAGGGCCTGGCGCAGAGCAGACATCTCGTCTCTGCCCAAGGCGGGTGGGCGGAGGGGTAGCGAGCAGCAGACTGAGGAGTGAGAAGGGAAGAGAGAAGAACAGGGAGGAGAGGCTAGCTCCAGGGGCTGAGGGATGAGGGGGAGGGGGTCTTGCTTTAGTTGTGAAGCCAGGAGAAGCATGTGTAGGGACCAAGGGAGAAGGACCTGCAAGATCCTGACTTCCCCTTCTTTTCCTTCTCTCCCAGGTCATGCCCAGAGCAGAAGCATGAATGATATTTCTCGCACCCCAAACACAGACCAGGTAGACCCTGCACTTGGCTACAGTGAAGGCCCAGGGCAGAAAGGTGCCTTTGGTTTCAGGGGCAGGGAGGCCCTACAGACAGAACTTCACTCCCATGAGGGAGTAAGAGTCCCCAGGAAGGACCCAGGTGGGGGCTCTGGGCTGCCTTGGTGACTAGCCAGCCCATCAGTCAGGTACTGACCAAGCCCCATATGCTGGCACCATGCCAGGCACTAGGGGGAGTGGGGGACAGAGAAGCATATCAGAAGAGGGGCCAGCTGTCCCTGAGCTTGGGATTTGTTGGACAGAGAAGACCAGCACACAGTCTCACCTCCTCCATGGCCGGACACCCAATGTGGAAGAGCCGACTCCCATCTGCTTGGGCCGCAGGGGGTTGGGGGATGAGGCCTGCTGTCCAGCAAGCCTGGGCTCTCTCGTCAGACCCCTTCACTCACACTTTAGTTGAGCAAAGTTGCCACCCATCAATGAATGTTCGCTTGGTCCTGGTGTTAACCCATTTTGAGTCTTCTCATCCAGAGAATAGGGCAAAGTATTTGGTTATTTCAGTCTCCTGAGAAATGCTTGCAGAATTTGTTAAAGTCAGGCCTTCACAGCAATCTGGATGAGAGCTGAAACCACTGATGAGAGTATCCGTGGGCATCTTGTTTCCCCCCTCCCTGACCAGCGGAAAAACAAATTCATGAAGAAGATCCCCAAGGACTCAGAGGCCTCCAACGTGCTCGTGGGCGAGGTAGACTTCCTGGACCAGCCGTTCATCGCCTTCGTGCGTCTCATCCAGTCAGCCATGCTGGGAGGAGTGACTGAGGTGCCTGTCCCCACCAGGTGAGGGCCACTGAAATCTGACCTCCCCTCACCTGCCTGAGGGAAACCAGCTGTCCATGTAGTGGGCACAAAGGGCTGTTGGAAACACCCCTAAAATATAGAAGGAAAATCAGTCAATTGTTGGGGAGGGAAATCATCTGACTAGGAGAGAGTTTTAGAGTTAATTTAAAATAATCATAAAAAAGAAGGAGCTGAGACAGACACCGTTGGCTGGGTTTGGACAACAAGACAATGGTGAGGATGCTCGAGGGGGAGCTGGTGGAAGCGAAGAAGAGATGTCTTTCCAGAGCAAATACAGGATTCAAAGTAGGGAAGGGACAAGTGTATGGTCAATTCATGAGTTAAGAATGAATAATGTCCAGGGCCAGAGAATCCCTCTCTTCACCTGCTTCAATTTGTCCTTCTCGCTTCCTCCGCCTCCTCCTCCTTCCTCTTCTTTGCAGATTTCTGTTCATACTGCTTGGACCTTCTGGGAGAGCAAAATCCTACAATGAAATTGGCCGTGCCATAGCAACCCTCATGGTAGACGATGTAAGTGGTAACGAGAAGCATGTACTCCTGACTGTCATGGCTCCTGCATCAAGCACTGGGCCTTCGTTCACTCACTTATCCAACAGGCCCGTTGGGGCACCTACTGTGTTGCCAGGCTTGTGCAGGGCGCTGAGGGTTATGAGAATCAGGGGGCCGTCACTGCCCTTTAGAAGCACCAATCAAGTGGGAGAGACAGACCTGTAATTCTGAAGTGAACCACATGCTAACTATCCCGGCAGCCAAGCAAGGCCTCACACAGGAGAGGGCTTTACACTAAGGATGAGCAGGAGTGAGGTCGACCCTGCACAAGCCTAAGAGGCAGGCATTCCAGAGGAAGGAAAAAGCAGCCAAAGCTTGGAGATGGAGAAGCTGGATAAAAGTGGTTCAACTTAGGCTCAGTGTAAGAACTTCAAGAGCAGGAGGGGAGCCCGAGATGACACAGAGCCTGGAGGCACAGCCTAGAGCTCTCTCTGTCCCAGGAGTGATGGGGAGCCTAGAAGATGTTCAACACAGGCGGGATCTGGACATCAGAAAGAACGCCCTGGAGACATCTGGAAGGATGCAGCCTAACCTTCTAAGGATGAGGCGCTAGAAAGTTATAATCAGATCTAAAATATCTGAGATTCTGGGACTGGGTTCTGAACAGGTTTTCAAATGAGCTTGCTCCATGCCAAACTGAAAGCAGAAAGGTTAGGTGATTCAGCCAAAGTCCTACAGCTAGGACACAGAGACCTGGCCTTCAGGTCTTCGCCCAAGGCCCACTGCTCCCCACTGTGCTGAATTTCACCTGCAGGGCTCTGTGCTTCCTTCCCTACAGACAGAGAGTAAGCTGATAGGAGTAAAGGTTCAGAGGGATTTCCTCTGACACTCTACGTGATGTGCTCCCAGGAGGTGGCTAAGAAGCAGACCTCAGCAAGATGTCCCCTTCCTCTTTCCTTGCCAGCTCTTCAGTGACGTGGCCTATAAAGCCCGGAATCGGGAAGACCTGATAGCAGGGATTGATGAGTTTCTGGATGAGGTCATCGTCCTTCCTCCTGGAGAATGGGACCCAAATATCCGAATTGAGCCCCCCAAGAAGGTGCCCTCTGCTGATAAGAGGTGTGTGTGTGGATGGAGAGGTGGCGAGGAGGGAAGTGGTTCAAAGGGAGTTCTGAGTCTGTCCATGGCTTTTCTGGTCAGCATAGACGGGTTTGTGGTATTTCTTCTCCTGGTGTCATTTTATTTCTGAAAGAAAGAAAGAAGAAAGAAAAGGAAGGAAGGAAGGAAGGAAGGAAGAAAGAAAGAAAGAGAAAGGAAGGAAGGAAGGAAGGGAGGGAGGGAGGGAGGGAAAGGGAAAGGGAAAGAAAGGAAAAAAAGAAAGGAAGGAAGGAAGAAAGAAAGAAAAAGCAAGCAAGCAATATGCTGCATGTGAACATCTGTAACATCTGGGTGACCTGTGCATGGGTACCGTGACATCATCTGCATCTGTCTCTGTCTTTTAAGATATTTCATGATTTTTGTTGGAGAGTAAGAGGTGTTCTCGGGACAGTTCTAGAGGGCCTAAGCTCGTCCCAGAATTGGGAGGGCCACCGTCCTCTGCCCCCTTGCTCCTTACAGGAAATCCGTGTTCTCGCTGATGGAGCTAGGCCAGATGAATGGCTCTGCAGGGGGAGGCGGCGGGGCGGCTGCAGGAGGCGGCGGCGGAGGCTCTGGCAGTGGCGGCGGGGCCGGCGGAGGGAGCAGCGGGGATGACGGAGAGATGCCAGCCATGCACGAAATCGGGGAAGAGCTTATCTGGACGGGAAGGTGCCCACCCCAGGCCTGACGGTGACGCCAGCCAACCTTTAGGCTTGTCTCCTTCTCACCCAGCTGCGGGAACCTTCCCCCAGCTCTGCCTGCAGCGCCCCCTCCTGGCCATGGGGTCTGGCCACTGCGCTCTTTTCCTCCCCACGCCCTCAAAAACCCCTCTGGATCTGGCGAAAGGGTTGTGGCAGCAGAAGGGAAGTGGGGCCCAGCACAGGAGTGGAGGCACCCGAACTTTTCTCTAGACTCTGTTCCTGTATGAGTCTTCTAGGGCTGTCCTAACAAAGTGTCACATTCTAGATGGCTTAAGCAATAGAAGTTTTCTCTCACAGTTCTGGAGGGTAGAAGTTCCAAATCAAGGCATTGGCAGGGCCAGCTCCCTCTGAGACTCTGGGTGGCATCCTTCCTTCCCTCTCTCCAGCTTCTGGCGGTGGCCGGCGATCCTCAGCATCCTTGGCTCGCAGCGGCGTGGCTCCAGTCTCTGCGTCTGTCCTCACTTGGTGTTCTCCCCGTGTGTCTTCCTGGGGCACTTTCCTCTTCTTCTGAGGACACTAGTCATATTGGATTAGGACCCACCCCCATGGCCTCCTCTTAACTTGATTACATCAGCAAAGACCCTATTTCCCTATAAGGTCACATTCACAGGTACTGGGGTTAGGATTTCAATGTGTCTTTGGGGGTGACACAATTCATAACAGTACCATTTGAATTTTTTTCTTTTTTCTTTCTTTAAGAGAGAGAGGGGGTGAGAGACTTTGGGTTGGGTTTCCTTGCTGGCTTTTAGAATAATTCAGGTTTCTCTGAATTTAGGAAAGGACATGGCCCTGCAAAGCTGTGTGTAAATTATGATTTTGAGAATGGAGTCATGTTTTATATGCCTTTGGCTCTATGCCAGCCAGTGGTTCCAAATTGGGGGTAACTTTGCCTGCACCCCCACCCTCCCCCAGGAGACATTTGGCAATGTCCAGAGACATTTTTGTGTGCCACAACTAGAGGGGGGGATGCTGCTGGCATCTAGTGGACAGATGCTACGAGGCACAGGGCAGCCCCACAACTAAGGATTACCCAGTCCAACATGTCAGTAGTACCAAAGCCAAGAAACCCTGCTCCATGCCAAGCATTGCCTTAGGAGCTGTGGGGAATAGTAGACCCAATAAACACTGTCCCTAAACCTGAAATTCCCCACTCAATTGTTCCAGAGAATAAAGAAACCAGTTATAAGAATCAGAACTTGCCCTTGATGAATCTCGGATGTCTCTCTCCTAAAGTTGGACACACCTATGTTCACCAAGCACAGGCAGATGCCCTGCAGATGATCAGGGACATCTCTGAGGAGGACGTCTAGGACTTCTGTGGACCCCACGATTTCCATTCCCCATGGAATGTTAGGTCTACTCCAGGACATGTCCCCCTCAGGCCTCCCCTCTCTCACACCCAGGCTGTCATGACCACCTTTCTAGTGAGGATGATGCTGACCACAAACTTTCATTCTTGCAAAAAACCCTTCCCTGCCTTTAAATGTTCTGGTAGAAAGGTCGCTCTAGTCAAGTTCCCTTCCTCGCCTCAGATTCTGCAGGCTCCTGTAAATAGCCCTGCCCCTCTGCTGGTGTTTGTGGGGAGAAAGCAGCCCCTGGGCCTGTCTTGAGCAGGTTCTTCGGTGGCCTGTGTCTGGATATCAAGAGGAAGCTGCCCTGGTTCCCAAGTGACTTCTACGACGGCTTCCACATCCAGTCCATCTCTGCCATCCTATTCATCTACCTCGGCTGCATCACCAACGCAATCACCTTTGGTGGGCTTCTGGGGGATGCCACTGACAATTACCAGGTGTGTGTGAGCTGGGGACCGGAGTGCAAACCTCCATAAAATCTTCTGCCACCAGGTGGCGGTAAGGAGCTTCATCCTGTAATCCCAAAACCAAGATTTGGGTTTCATCCACCATGGGGTTCAGACTATCATTTTTAGTAATCCTTTACCCTTCAAAAAATAATAAGCCAACAGTATTTTTTTTAAAAGATCTTATTTATTTATTTGACAGAGAGAGAGAGAGAGAGAGAGAGAGAGAGAGAGAGAGACAGCAAGAGAGGGAACACAAGCAAGGGGAGTGGGAGAGGGAGAAGCAGGCTTCCCAGTGAGCAGGGAGCCGGATGTGGGGCTCGATCCCAGGACCTTGGGATCATGACCTGAGCCGAAGGCAGACGCTTAATGACTGAGCCACCCAGGCGCCCCAAGCCAACAGTATTAAAAGACCTAAAGCTAAATCATGTTACTAAAGTCCAAATGTAAGGATGACATAAATAGATCAAACTTTTTCAACGTTTATTTTATGTATTAAGTAGTATTAATTGTACTATATTTTTTTGTTAATTTTTATTATTAAAGAGTAGTTGACATGCAATGTTATATTAGTTTTCAGATATACAACATAGTGATTTTGGGAGAAGAGGGCCCAAAATAAAAGATGACACTGTGGCCTGAGCCCTTGGTTGGATTCTAGCCTATGCCAAGAGGCCCCTTCTCCTGCTTCCATTGAGCCTCATACTCTTCATGCCCCCAGGGAGTGATGGAGAGTTTCCTGGGCACTGCCATGGCCGGCTCCTTGTTCTGCCTCTTCTCGGGACAGCCTCTCATCATCCTCAGCAGCACGGGGCCCATCCTCATCTTTGAGAAGCTCCTCTTCGACTTCAGCAAGTAGGTGCCCTTGGTAGCCCCTGGTGCCTGCTCTCACACCTGGGGCAGTATACCAAGGCCAGGACAAGGGAATAGGCCCAAAAGGGAGGCAAGGGTGAGGAGGTACCAAAACTGCCTTTATTACCTATGGGAAGGACTGTCAGGTGGTCCCTCCTGACTCCCTCCAGCCAACTGCCTTTAGCCATCCTAGTGCATTTTAGCATAGCTGATAGGGAGACATCAAGGCAAGACAAGAGGAGACAATTCTCACTAAGGTGTTTGTAAACAATTACGTTTGGAAGTCAGTGCGGTCTTGAGCTGGAGGTCCAAAGTGTATACCCTGAACCAGGCAGCTCCTGTCACCACTCTGGATTCAGTTGCCTCATCTACAACATGAGGCCAGTTAAAGGCCTCCCGCAGCTCTGTCACTCTGATATTCCCTGTTGTTCATTCACCCTGGGTGTTTGTTACCAAATGTGTAGGAATTGAGATGTCTTAGCACCTTCCTGCCACCCCCATGAGATTCTTTCCCAGAATTTGTGAAGATGAGACATCCCCACCCAGGAATTGTCCCTGTCCCTAGTCCTCTCACATTTCCTAGGAGGGCATCTGTGCCACAGGAGAGACAGGTGAGCCACTAAGAGTGGGTCTGGGGAGCCAAGCACATACAAGAGCCCTGGGCTCAAGGCCCCTTCCTTCCCTCTGTCTTCCAGAAGCAATGGTCTGGACTACATGGAGTTCCGCCTCTGGATTGGCCTCCACTCGGCCATCCAGTGCCTTATCCTGGTGGCCACAGATGCCAGCTTTATCATCAAGTATATCACCCGCTTCACAGAAGAGGGCTTCTCCACCCTTATCAGCTTCATCTTCATCTATGATGCCATCAAGAAGATGATTGGTGCCTTCAAGTACTACCCCATCAATATGGACTTTAAGCCTGACGCCATCACCACGTACAGATGCGAGTGTGTTGCCCCCGACACAGGTGACCGGTAATCCCAGATGTGCCCTGGGCCCCCACCCACTCACTCTCCCCCCCACCACAGCTCTCTACTGAAATGTAGTAGATACCACCATGAGAGGTATCAGCCCCCTTGGGTGGTAACAAGTGACCTGAACACTACCTGGATGTCCATCTGCCAAGGGTGATGTAAAAAGAATTCCTGGGGCACCCGGTGGCTCAGTCAGTTAAGCACTGACTCTTGGTTTTGGCTCAGGTCATGATCTCAGGGTCATAAGATCGAGCCCTGGATCAGGCAGGTGGAGCCTGCTTGAGATTCTCTCGCCCCCTCCCCCTCTCCCTCTGCTCCCCACCATCCCTGCTAGCCTGCTCTCTGGAAAAAAAAAAAAAATTCCTGCACTGGGTGGGAGGTTGAATCAACCAACTGGTCAACCTGATAATACTTGGTGCTTTTCCTGTGGAATTCCTAACTGACCAAAAAAGTGTCATCTGTATAGTTAGGGCTTCCTATAGTCTCAACCACTGGCCTCCCTTCACAGTCCTAGTCATGCTCTCAGAGCCTTCAGTGGACTGTGCCTGGGGTGGCCAGGATACTGCAGAGCAGGGACACCCATAGATAGATCTAGATCTAGAGAGAGAGAGACCCATCCATATATCTCTGAGCACCACCAAGCTGGACTCACAGAGAGCAAATTGAGGTCCAGAGACCACCTAAGGTCACACTGAACCTCAGTTTCCCTAGCTGTGAAAGAGGGATATCAATGCTGGCTCTGCCAGTCTCATGGAACTCTTGTGAGGCTTTCGAATCTATACTCAGATCAGACTGGAGTTTGACACAAGTAGATTTTATGTTGTTTAGCACTCTAACACATGTTATTGATAAAAGATTGATCATAAGTCAATCAAAAATATTTACTGTACAGTCACCATGCACCTGCTTTAGACTAGGCCTCATGGAGAGGAAGATGTCCTGACCTCAGGGAGTATGGTTTTGGTTATACCCTCTCTCCCTCTGTCACTGCACTGGTTTTGTAAAGAAGTCTAGACAATTTTTTTCTATCATTAATTTAGAGTTATTTCATTAAAATCCAACAATAGGTGAAGCTATTGTTTGTCCCAAGCCAGAACATGTTTGGTGCCCAGGGGATGGAAGAGATCCTACCTGCAGGCCCTTTTCATTCTGCCCTGGAGTGAATCTCTCCTCTGTGGCCTGGGCCCCCTCAGGGCACTCCCATTTGCTGCTTGTGCCCACTGGATGGTGGCTTTGTTGCACCGACTGAACACAAATGTTCCCACAAACATGGCTTTTGGAAGTACACGGCCTTGATCTCTTTTAGAAACAGTCCAAATTCTGGGGTCATATGTGGCACTTTGGTCATTCTGAGAACCATCTGTCCATAGGAGAAACCAAACATAGACATGCCCTAAGAACAGGGGACATAGGAGCATACAAGGTTGGATTTGACGGCCGTAATAAAATCTACTTGCCTCCAAATAGCGCCCCCTCTGGCCTTGCCCAGGTGCCTGATGTCACCTCATTATTTTGGGTCACTCTATACCCATGGTTCTCAAAGTGTGGTCCCCAGAAGCAGCCTTAGCACCTCCGGGAACTTGTTAGAAATACAAATTCTTGGGCCTCACCCCATACCTGCTAATCAGAAACTCTGGGGTAGGGCCAGCTGTACAGTAAGAAGCCTTCCAGGTGATTCTGACGCATGCTTAAGTTTGAGAACCATTGCTCTATTGAACTATTAATTAGTAATACGTAGTCATTATTAGCCACTAACCCTGGTCAGATTAGATTTTCAGTTTCTTCGCCAAGAGTAAAGGGACTGGAATCAGGACAAGTTAGTTTTGATTAGAATATGAAAGGAAAGTTCTCAACAACAGGAGATGGGGGAGGGGAGAACTAAGTGAGGAGGGTTTCTTTCCCCGTCCCTGGGCCACTTGCTTACAAAAGGTTCCACGTTCCCAGTTTTACTGCAAAGCCCAGTCTGGCCAAGACACCCTCTTAGTCTTCCCCACTCTTCATCCTAAGAGCTTGTTGTGTGGGTGCGCTCTTTTTAAATTTAATCTTGTTTCCATTGTAACTGATTTGTATTCTATTTATGGATGCTGCACACACTGATGGGCTGCTTTCAATCCCAAGTGAGTACCACTTTGTAAACACGAGAATTTAAAAATATTTGATACTTGGACCCTTTCTGGAATTTTTCCATGTTATATTTCATCCTTCTTCATCTCAAAGTGACTTTCAGATAACTCTACCCAATATAAAAGAATGGCTAAGCCTAAACAGAAGACATCAAGGGAGTGTCTGGTCTGACAAGCTTGGGCAATGGAAAGGCGCCTGAACTCTCCAGGCTCAAGCATTAGCTGGGAGTCCTCTAGTGTTTGTGTGGGTAGCCCTGAGTTAGCCTTCTTGCCCACTTCCTCTGCTCTGTTGTTAATTGTGCATCGTGTTCTCTTGGTCAGTGGTGTGAAGTAAGGCAGCAGATGTCCTGATTTCTGTAAGTGAAGCTTTCTTCAGAATAATTATAACAAACCTCTGGTTTGTAGAATTTTAGGAATATTCTGCCCTGGGTCAAGACTGAATTCCTTAGTCGCTCCCAGCCCCAACTGGCCCAGAAGTGGGCAACACGGAGGGGCCCTGTGATCACATCCACCCTGTGTCAGGTTGTTGGAAGTTGAGGGAAGCTTCAAGAATAGCCTCTACTTCACTCTGGCTTCCTAACCAACCATGGAGAGCCAGCAGGAGCCAAATGGCTTGTAGTACATTTCAGATTTATTGCCAGCAAACTGGCTAGCTGGCCTCCTCCCTCACTTCCCAAACCTGCTGCACTGGAGCTACTTAATGGAGAGGGGCCAGGGCGCAATGAGCTGCCCTCACAAGGGAAGCCACTCCTGGGCTCTGAGCAATGGTGGGAGATGGAAAAGCTGGGGGCCTGGTGGGGGCTGAAGGCTCCCAACCCAGCAGCTGCTGACCCATCCCATGTCCTGTGCTCATCCACAGCAAATACAACCATGTTCAATGCTTCAGCCCTGCTGCCACCGAACACCAACACTTCTCTGGTAAGTGTCCTCTCCTCTTACTCAGACATTCGAGGGCTTCTGTCTGTGGGGAGAGTGAGAGAAGTTGGGAAACAGAGGCTGGGCTTGCCATTTTACGGCAAGCCAGACTTGTAGAAGTCAGTCCCAGCTGCACATCAGGGTCACCCATGGAGCTCTGTAAATGCGTACTTTTATTGTAAGTATATATTGTCAAAACCTCCCCGTTTACACGTGTCTCATTCTATTAAATCCATGTGTATAAATATCACACATGCAGGCTCACACACATGAAGGGGAGGTAGAGGTGAGGAGTGGTAAACAGGGCTGCAGAAACAACAGTATAAACCTGGTTTCCCAGCTGGCTTCTTACCCTCTTCCTTGCCTCTCAACCTAGCACCCCCATTCCCCACCTAACAGTGCCATTCCCCAGCCCCAGAAAGGTTATTAATGCTACCCCCCTCGCTGAATCTGATCCGTCCTGTGTGCTCACGAGTCCCCGTCAGGTCTGGTCTGCCCCTCCCCAGAACGATGAGCAGTGGCCCTCAGGAGAGGGGCCCGGCCTGAGCGGCTCCAATGCTGGGAAGTCCAAAAGCAGAAGAGCAGCTCCTGGTGGGCTTTGAGGGAGATCTTTGGACTTTCTGTGTCCCTGAGGTTGCTCCTTTAGTCACTCCTGCAGAGGCAGCTGACTGCTCAGTTGGCAACTTAACCTAAGGTCTTTCAAATACCTGATTTCGAGTGAGGAAGAATGGAATCAGCCAGTGCCTGAGGCTGGATACTTACTATGTGCGAGGTGCTATGTGCACTCTGAGGGCTAAAAGGAGATAAAAAACCAGACGTGGCCCCTGCCTGCCCTCCAACTTGCATGTGATATACACGAGGAGATGAGCATGAAGGCTAATGGGACAGCAGAAGCAGAGTATGCCATGTGCCAAATATAAGCCAAACGTGTCCTTCCAGCCATGGAGACAGGAGGCACCCCACAAGCTGGAGAGGAAAGCCTCAGAGAGAAAGTGGAATGTGATTTGGCCTTGAAGGTCAGGAAAGTGGGTTTCCTAGAGAGAAGCACCTTCCAGGCCCAGGGACCAACACAGACAGAAGGGCAAATAAGGAAAACACAAAACCTGTTCTGAGGACAGGGAGCAGACCAGCCCTGCCGAGACAGCAGGAGGGTGTGGCGGTGCACAGGGGAAGCCCAAGAGATGAGATGAGTGGGGACAGAGCTGTGGGGCCAGCCTGGTGGGGCAGTGGAGGCATGCTGCCCGGCCAGGGGGCAGCCTTACTAGCTTCAGTGACTGAGGGAGGCCCTGACACGCAGCAGATGTCTTGCAAATCTGGATTTCTCTCTTCCCATGGTATTTTCTGATCCCGGGCTTTCCCACAGTATGGCAGTCTCACATTGCCAAGAGGGTAAGCGCAGATCCGGCAAGGCCCCTCAAGGCCTCGGCTCCAGACCCTGCTCAAAGCCACTTCCTCCCCATTCCACTGGTCTGAGCAGACCCAGGGCCAGGCCAGATTCAGAAGGGTGGAGAAATAGACCACTTTTTGATGGGAGAACTGTTGGTGTGACATGGAGGAGTGTGGACACAGGGAGGCATGATTCATTGGAAACCACTATTATATCAAAGTCCCACACTCCTCTTAATCCAAACATTCACTACACGTGGTTGCAAACATCTGTTTACTTCATTTTCCTGGTTCCTGAATATTTGCAGTAATTTTTTGAAATCTATGTTAAATTTTATTATAAATTACTCTGCTTTTATTACACTTAGAAACATGCATATGAACATATATGTGTGTATACACATGTATGTCTGTATATGCACTCATATACATACACTTAGAGATAGATATCTATGTGTATATATATACATACATACATACATGTACATATATAGATATTTCTATATATGTAATTGTTTTGTGTACCCTGGACTTTAGGCATCTAGACATGAAAAGGGGAAGTGACTGACCCAAGAGAGATCTGACAAGGGTAAGATGTAAGCCCCAATATGTGAAAAGGTGTGCACAGGGGAAGGAAAAGGAAGAATAAATATGACATAATCCAGGAAAGAGATCCATAGTTGACTGAGCTGGTAGCCAAGTGTGCTGTAGGAGAGGACATCCCACCCCCTGAGCTGCTTCTCCTCAATAACTCAGCAGTGCAATCTAGAACACACTGAAGAAACACGTGTTCGCTCCTGCTCTGCCCAGGGGCCCCTCTGTTCGTTGTTCCTTGACACAGCCTGTCTCCAGGAACATAATTCTGTTGCTGGGCCCCATGGAGGCTGGGAGGGGTGTGTGGGCTGCCTGAAGGACTCTAGAGGCAAGGATACAGCTGACTCCCCAGAAAGGCCCTGACCCTTTCTCTCCTGTGCTTGGTCTCCAAGTACAACCCCCTTAACCTCACAGCACTGGACTGGTCTCTGCTGAGCAAGAAGGAATGTCTGAACTACGGTGGACAGCTGCTCGGGGATTCCTGCCAGTTCATCCCTGACCTGGCACTCATGTCCTTCATCCTTTTCTTTGGGACGTACTCCATGACCCTGACCCTGAAGAAGTTCAAATTCAGCCGCTATTTCCCGACCAAGGTAAGCTCACCCTGCCCTGAGAATTTTTCTCAATATTTCATAAAGACTAAATAAAAGACTCTTTAGGGAGTTTTGCAATGTATGAGCTGAGGAAAAAATAGCGTGCTTGCAACACAAATGCATCCTCAAGACAAACTCCCTCCCTTCCTCCCTACTTCCAATCAGAGCGTAGCCAAGTCACCTTTTATGTAAAAGATCTAGAGCAGTGATTGCATCTGAGAATGTCTATTTCCTGAAGGATGAAATATAATTCATATAGTAGGAAATTCTTTTATCACCAACACTTCCCCCCTTAAATTTCTTACAAATTGCTCTGTTGCCTCCTGGAATTTAGTGTTGCAGAGAAGAATGACACCATACCACTCCATACCCATCAGATTGGTAAAGATATGAAGGTCTTGGGATACCAAGTGTTGGAGGTGAAAAGCAGGTGGGAGTGTAAATAAGCACAAGCAATTCAGAGAATTGGCACTCTCTGGTAGAGCTAAAGATGGATATGATTTTCCAATGGGCATTTCCACTTCCAGGAATACACCCCAGGGAAATCCTCATATGTGTGCAAGAATATTCACAGAAGCATTGATTCTAAGAGGAAAGCAATGAAAACAATCTAAGTTGATCTATCGACAGGAGAATGAAGAAACAAATGGGAAACAATCATACATTAAGCTGCAGTTCATATACATGTAGACTACAACTATATCCAAAAGGAAGAATAGCACCAACATAATGTTAGCAAATAAAGCAAATTGCAGAAGGTTGCAAATAATATGAAACCATTTATGTAAAATTTTAAAACGTGCAAAACAATGCCATATTTTGTTTAGGGCTACATACATATTTAGTAAAAGTATTAAGACATTCATGGGAAGAAGAAAGTCCAAATTCAGAGCAGTGGATCTCTCTAGAGAGCAGGGACAGGGATGCCACTGGATCACACAGAGGCATTGACTAAATGCGTATATTTTCATTTCTTAAGGTACAGGGAGTTCACAGCTGTTTATCATATTCATCTTTATGTTAGGTCAGACCATACGAAATGAAGTACATTGGACTGTTTCGCCCTACCAAAAAATGGCAAAGTCATATGGTTTAACTTAATAACTTTTTGATCCGGATGCTGGGGATACTGCAGGAAAACAACTGTAAACCTGCACACTGCTTGGCTTACCTGATCACAGTAATATAAAGCAGTTACTGATTTTCAACTTTGAGAATCACGTTACAGATAAACCACAAAAGACATGTGTTGATGGAACACAATGTGAGTGTTCTCAGCTTTGACAATGGAAAGATCCACAGGGAAAGGTCACAGACAACAGGATGGGGAGGGGAGGTGGGGGAAGGGCTGCAGCTAGCCTCATGTGACGGAGCATGTGAGTGATTGCAAAGTCAGCAGAAAGAGAGGCTTCACTGTATAACTTGAAAGTACAAAGGAAACCCATAGAAAGAGTTTGAAAATAACTCTCGGGGCACCTGGGTGGCTCAGTCTTTAAGCATCCCAGGGTCCTGGGATCAAGCCCCGCATCAGGCTCCCTGCTCCATGGGAGGCCTGCTTCTCCCTCTCCCACTCCCCCTGCTTGTGTTCCCTCTCTCACTGTGTCTCTCTTTGTCAAATAAATAGACAAAATCTTGAAAAAAGAAGAAAGAAAGAAAGAAAAAAGAACTCTCAAAGATTGGGACTGAGGAAAGGGCAGGAGGGACAGTGCAAGTAAGCCGAATCTTAATCAGTAGATCATGCTTTAATTTAGTAAATCACAATATGAAAGTATAGCATATTAGGGCGCCTGGGTGGCTCAGTTGGTTAAGCGACTGCCTTCGGCTCGGGTCATGATCCTGGAGTCCTGGGATCGAGTCCCGCATGGGGCTCCCTGCTCGGCAGGGAGTCTGCTTCTCCCTCTGACCCTCTTCCCTCTCGTGCTATCTCTCATTCTCTCTCTCTCAAATAAATAAAATCTTAAAAAAAAAAGTATAGCATATTAGATAATGACATGGAAGAAATCACCAAAACAACTAAAATCAAGCAGACATAGGGGTACATCCGGAGTGAGGGAAGGTGAGGTGGGGAACTCGGCTTTCTACACCATGTGAGTTTTTAATTAATTATATATGTTATTTTAATAACAATTTTAAAGGGGAGTAAGGGGTACAGGGAATGCATTCAGTGTGCCATAACCTGCCCCTGCCCTTCCTAACTTCTTTCCCTGTTGTTCTCTGGAACCTGCTCTCTTTGAAGAGATATAGAAAAGGCGGCAGTGTGGATGTTGACTGGGGAGGGCAGGGGAACCTGGCCTAAGGATGGGCATCCTGAGACACAGGAGCAAGAGGTGAAGGCCATCTAGTGGACAGAAGGTCTGAGAGCAGACAGGGGTCCCCGGCAGAATCGAGGACCTCCCTCCCAGCCCAGATGGCAGTGCAGCCATCACCACACATTTTCAGGAGGTAGGATTTCCTTTAGATCTAAGTTCAGCCTTGCCCCCAACCACCCTTTACGGGTGACCCAGTTCCGTATGTCACACCAGAAAATGTTTTCAGCAGCGGCACCATTAGTCACTGGCTAATAACAATTCCCACATTCACTAACCTATGCCAAGCCCTCTGAATGTGTCATAGCTCACTTATTTATGTCTATGAGGTAGGTGCTATCATTATGTCCATTTTACAGACGAAGAAACTGAGGCTCCAAGAGATGCCCTGCTTCTCCAGGGTCGCACAGCTGGCAAGGGCAGAGCCAGGATTTGAGCCTCGGTCTGCTGACACTGAAGCCCAAGTTCTTACCCGTGCTCCTCGTGCTGCCAGGGGAGGACTGAGCCCTCCAGGAGGAGGGCAGGTGCTTCCCTCACTTGCCCATCTCTTTCCTGCAGGTCCGGGCCCTGATAGCCGACTTTTCCATTATTTTCTCCATCCTGCTGTTCTGTGGAATCGATGCCTGCTTCGGCCTGGCGACCCCCAAGCTGCACGTGCCCAGTGTCATCAAGGTTTGCCCCTGGCCCCTGCTCTGGGCATTAGCCCTGCCTGCCCACCAGCTGCAGTTCCTTTCCCCTCTATGCCGATCAAATGTCCATAGACTCTCAGCCAAGCAACCCGGGGGTTTCTCTGGGTATGCGCCACCCTTCCTCCACACAGCCTCCCAGCGGGTGGTCCCTTGGGATGGTAGGTTGGGGACATATTCACAGTGAAATCCTGCTGTGGAGTCACGGAGTGGAGAAGGTGCTGAAACCCCCCCTCCAGCCCAGCAGAAGCCCCCTGATTTCCACTTATGGAGCTACAACCCCCTGGCTCCAGCAGTCTTTAAGTGGGGTCATCTGGGGTCTGTTGAAAATGATCCCCTAGAACACTGATTCTCAAAGTGTGGTCCCCAGACTAACATCATCATATCATCACCTGAGAACTTGTTAGAAATGCATCTTCTCAGCCCCACCCCAGACCTGTGGAATCAGGAAGTCTGGGGATGGGGCCCAGAGTTCTGCATTTTAATAAGCACCCCCCCACACCCCCAAAAGGGCCTGCCAAGCTTGAGAATCACTGCTGCAGGAACTCTCCATCATTCCTGAGTTGGTGCTGTTTGCTTGTAGCTAAGCTCAGGCCCGGCTCCCTCACAAGGAGCACCAACCACCTACACTGGGTGTGGAGGTACAGGTTCTAGAACTCACCCTCCCTGCCTTTGAGGGCTTGACCTCCTCATGATTACTTCAGGGTTCTCTTAAGTAGCTTGAACACAAAAAGTGCCTCTTTCTCTTAAGTAAAACAAAAGATAGATTTCAGCCCAGCTCCTGCATAGATAATCCCTTGTTCTTAATATGCAAGTCTGAATTACTGTTCGGTGTTTTACAAACCATCCTGTAATGCTTCCCGGACAGGTGACTCAGAGGAGAGGCAGAAACGTCAGGCACCGGGCCCATCAGATTCCTTATTCTTGCCTGTTGGGCCTCGTTCCTGCTTCTTGTTACGTTGCAGTTAATGACTGCCAGATCTCTCCTTACAGCCTCTGGCTCTGCACCTCCCTGGTCCCAATCAACCCCAGGGCAGCTGCCGCTGATGATCTTAGCGCCGCAGATACCATGCCCTTCCCGAGTCTGTCTGCCTCTGTGGTCTCTTTACAGTTGCAGGTGCCTAATGTCTTGAAGGGAAAAGATTGCACTCAAAAAGCACCCCAGGTGGGGAGTGGTGGGATGTCAGGGAGAGTGGGGCCCCGGGGCAGCAAGTGCACTGGGACAAGGGAGAGAGGAAAGGGCCGTTTCCGTTTGCTCCGCTCAGCCCACACGGCCTGACCGAGGCTGGTTCGTGGCCCCCTTTGGGAAGAACCCATGGTGGGTGTACCTGGCGAGCATCCTGCCTGCCCTGCTGGTGACCATCCTGATCTTCATGGACCAGCAGATCACCGCCGTCATAGTCAACCGGAAGGAGAACAAGCTGAGGGTAAGGCGGCTGCTAGGAGCAGGGCCCAACCTCTTTCTTCCCCCAGAGTCAGAAGGAACAAAGAAGGGAGATGGTGCTTCTGTCAAAGTGTGGGGCAATTTATAAAGCAAGATGTGAGGTCAGAAGATTAGAGTTCTGGTGCATGTGTGGGGAAATATGACCTCCAGATGTGGGTAAGGCCACCAGGGCCAGGGTGATTATCCAAGGACCAGGACCAAGCCCAGGGTGCCGTTAGGACAGGCTCCTTGCTTCTCCCAAAGTGACCTTCCAGCTCTGTGTGTGCTTCCTGACCAGGAACTTGGGAGTCCGAGAAAATCTGGGACTTTGACCCAGAACCGTGAGGCAGAGGAGAATCCTTAGCCTTTCTGGTCCCTGTAGCTCCCCTCCCTGCCTCTGGGTTGGAGGAGATTCGGGCAGCCCTCCCCCCATACCGATCTAGACCACTCTGAGCTTGGTCTAGAGCCCGCCCTGGCCAAGACTCCACGTTCAAGAATCGCACAGGTATTGTCACCACTGGTAGGAGCCCTTCTTCCCAAGGACCCAAGCCCAGCACCTGTCCGAGACCCAGACACCTCCCTTCCCTAGCTCACCAAACCCTGGGGTTGGCGATGCCTGAGCGCCTCAGGTGGTGACGCCCGAAGAGCACCTAATGAAGGCCGAGGGGAGCCTTTTAGCCATGTTCCACAAAGTGGCTGCTCTGGGGAGAGTCTGCGCTCCCCCCGCCCAAGACCAACAGGTGGTCAGGTGCAGACTCCCCAGGCAGCCCTCCCCTCCCGCTGCCCCATGCAGAAGGCTGCTGGCTACCATCTGGACCTGCTCTGGGTGGGCATTCTCATGGCCCTCTGCTCCTTCACGGGGCTCCCCTGGTATGTGGCGGCCACTGTCATCTCCATCGCCCACATCGACAGCCTCAAGATGGAGACGGAGACCAGCGCCCCTGGGGAGCAGCCCCAGTTCCTGGGGGTCAGGTAGGTGGGGAGCGGTGACTGGGGACCACCTGAGCAGGGGTGTTTAGGTTGGGGGAAGGGAAGCAGGTTTTTCTCACCGTCAAGTTATCCGACAGCCCAGGAACTGCAAGGGTAGGAGTGATATTCCTGAGGGAGAGGGAGGGAGACAAAAAATCAGTTCTAAGTGGTGCTTTTTTGGTAATGAATTGCAAGCTGTCCACCACCATGGCCCGCATGCACACTGACCTCTTACCTGCATGGGCTACTCAATGTCCCCACAGCCCCTGTCACCTGTCCCTTTGTCTCCTCGTCTTCCAGACCCCCTGCCCCCACCATCCCCCAACCCCTCCTGTGGGTGCAGGTCCTCCTCCCCAGTCTCCATTCTTCCAGAGACTCTGCCCAGGACCACTCCCACTCCCTAGACGTGGCCCATGGCCTGTCACTTCCATGCCTTCCTCCTCCTTTCATGCCCGTGTCGGCTCCCCCACCTGTTATCGGCAGCCACATGCCTCTCCTACCTCTTAGGGCCTCCGAGGCGAGCCCACACCAGACACTGCCTGTCCAGAGAGCTTTTCCTCACTGCCTTGGGATACCCGGGCTACACAGCCTGCGCCGGATGAACCTTCTCTGGCCAAGGCAGGGTCCCCTCCTGGACTCCTGAGCCCCAGAGGACTGGGCCTGAGCAATCTGCCCCTGGCCCCCCAGCTCGCACCTGGATTGGGCCTGGACCTGGGCATTCAGGAAAACATACCTACTCTCCCGCCCCTCCCCCCCACTCTGCCAGCAGCCGGGCCCCCTCGCTCTGACTCCTCTTAGTCATGCCCACAGACGAAGGCTCTTCCTGCAGTTGAAGGCAGGGATCCTAAGCAGTGCACATACCCATTTCATCCTCACAACTCCCAAGGCACTTGCCACTATCTTGCTTCTCCTGAGGCTGAAGACATTTAGGGCCTCGCCTGCTGCCACACAACTGAGTGGCAGAGCCACACCCAGGTCAGTCTGGTGGCAGCACCTCTACTATTAGTCACTGCACTGGACAGCCTCCCAAACGCCCCTACAGCTGCCTCAGTCAAGGCTCCCTCTCTTCCCATGTGCCGGTCAGCTGGGCCTCAGGCAGCAGGTTTACTCTCTTGGAATGGGGGGAACAGGGCAGGGCCAGGGCGTGGACACAACCATTAGGTGCACACAGAGGGCCAGAGGGCTAGAATGGTCAGGGGGCCTCTCCCAGTCGACCCTGACCGTGTGCCCTTGTCTGCCAGGGAACAAAGAGTGACCGGCACCATTGTCTTCATCCTGACGGGCATCTCCGTCTTCCTGGCTCCTGTCCTGAAGGTGAGGCTCTGCACCCTCCACCAGGGTGCCATCCACCTAGGAAAGCACTGGCCTGATGCCTCAGAGGTGGGGAGAGGGTCTCCCTGTGGACCCTAAAGAGGCAGGACCCAAAGAGATGTTTCACCACCGTCCTTGTTTTCTGGAACATTGCATCGCTTATGAGCACCAGGCCATTCTCACTGCTCTTTCCACTCCTCCCACGGTCCATCCTCCCCTTTCTGGAGATGCTCCTCCCTCAGAAAGCTTGGCCAAGTTCCATCCTGTTGTGGTTTTTTTTTTAAATTTTTTTATTGTTATGTTAATCACCATATATTACATCATTAGTTTTTGGTGCAGTGTTCCATGATTCATTGTTTGTTCATAACACCCAGTGCTCCATGCAGAACGTGCCCTCCTCAATACCCATCACCAGGCTAACCCATCCCCCTTCCCCCCTCCCCTCTAGAACCCTCAGTTTGTTTTTCAGAGTCCATCATCTCTCATGGTTCGTCTCCCCCTCTGACATACTCCCCTTTTCTTCCTCTCCTGTTATCTTCTTCTTTTTCTTTTTTCTTAAAATATGTTGCGTTGTTTCAGAAGTACAGATCTGCTGTTGTGTTTTTTTTAAGATTTTATTTATTTATTTGTCAGAGAGAGTGCGAGAGTGCTCACAAGCAGGGAGAGCTGCAGGCAGAGGGAGAAGCAGGCTCCCCGCTGAGCAAGGAGCCTGATGCAGGACTTGAGCCCAGGACCCTGGGATCATGACCTGAGCCGAAGGCAGACACTTTTAACTGACTGAGCCACTCAGGCGTCCTTGGCCAGGTTCCATCCTTGCTTAGATCAGGAGCTTCCCGAGCTGGTTGTGTCTCCACATTGTGGTTTATGGCTCACTACACATCTCTTCGCTCACCTGTTTTCTGAAGTTTCAAACTTCTGAGGAGAATGTTTCTGGAGATTTTCCTGTGCCCTGTTCTCTGCTCCTCTGTCTTGCATGTCTTGGGCACAAAACTGACTTTTTCCCCCCCATACAGTTTGAAGATCCTTTGGCTCACATCCCTCCAGACCAAATGGAAGAGATGAAATCAAATGAGGGTACATTCAGAGTAGGCGTCCCCGAATACTCTTTCTGCTCAGGTTTCTCCGTCTCTCCAATTCAGCCACTTAGCTGTTGTGTTCATTTGCCGCATACAATAGCCCAGACTGGGCAGCTCCAACAGCACTTACTTTCTTACAGTTCCGGAGCCTGGAAGTTTGTGATCAGAGCGTTGCTAGCTTTGGTCTCTTCTGAAGCCAGATATGGGGAAATGTTAATTATTACTCTGGCCATCATGGAAAAATTTCCATGAGTCCACATGGCTCCAAGGGCTCTGATACTGCTTTTGTATTCAATGACAAATGATTTGAAAAATCCTACCCCCCCAAAAAAATCCTACCTATGTTCTTTTATAATAAGTGTAGAAAAAATATATTTTATTCACCACCAATTAATCTATTTGATAAATTTTATAACAGAGAAGACCTGTCTAGATTTTTATTGATCGTAAGATTTAGGATTTCTTATTTGATTGTATTAAAGTACATAAGGTATATATTTTCATTTTATTTGTTTAATTTATATTTTTACACCTTTTTATAAAGATAGGCTTTCAGAGGAAGTCAACAACTTTGCACATACTTCTTCAGAGACTGAATCCACCCAAAACTGCTCCTGGGAATGAGAGCTCAAGTATCCTTGAGGCAGACCTTCCCCATCACAACCTGACAACTATCCAGATGTCTTCCATCTTAACCAAGCAAAGTAAAATCATTTCTAACAACAGCAACAGAAAAAAAGATTGGCTTTCAAAATTGTTTTAGTTAAGTGATTAAAGCATTATCACTAGCTGACACCAGTACTAATTTTGACACTAGTGCTAATTCGGCAAGATAACCAAAGATTTGCAAATTGGTGATGATGGCTGAAGATTATCACTGATCTTCTAGCAGTAAAAATCACTGTGTCTGAGTCAGTACAACCATCCATTGTAAAAAAATTTTTTTCCAAACAGCTTATTTAACTTTTTGCAACGGTAGGTTTACCCACGTCTGTCAAATTAGGCACAGCTGAGTACATACCAGATTCAGAGAACTTATATTGGAGAGCTGTCTACCTAAGACATTAGTTGAGATCTTTAATTTTTTTAAGATTTATTTATTTGGGGGGGAACAGAGGGAGAGGAAGAGAGAGAATCCTCAAGCAGACTCACTGCTGAACATGGAGCCCTTCGCAGGGCTCAGTCCCAGGACCCTAAGATCATGATCTGAGCCGAAATCAAGAGTTGGACACATAACTGAGTCACCCAGACACCTTGGATCTTTAATTCTTGTTTATATAGCCAACAGGGGAGAGATCTCTTTGGTGCTACAAATTTTAGAGGGTACAAATTGGATCCTAATTATTAGTGTTTTTATTTTTATCAATGTTCCTAAATTAATTATTAACTATACCTTTGTCCAATTCCTCCAGTAGAATTCTTCTCTAAGGCTTCTCAAATTTTAAAGATTTTTTTAAAGATTTTATTTATTTATTTGGCAGAGAGAGAATGAGAGAGAGAGAGAGCACAAGAGGGAAGAGGGTCAGGGGGAGAAGCAGACTCCCTGCTGAGCAGGGAGCCCGATGCGGGACTCAATCCCGGGACTCCAGGATCATGACCTGAGCCGAAGGCAGTCGCTTAACCAACTGAGCCACCCAGGCGCCTCTCAAATTTTAATGTGTATAAAAATCACCTCGGAGGGGCACCCGGGTGGCTCAATCGGTTAAGGATCCAACTCTTGATCTCAGCTCAGGTCTTAATGTCAGGGTCATGAGTTCAAGCCCTGCATTGGGCTCTCAAAAAAAAAATATATGTATATGTATATATACACAGACACACACACATTTTTTGTATATACAATTTATATATATATAAAATTTATATGTATGTATATATGTGAAAAAATATATATCTATGAAAAAAATCACCTGGGATGCTTATTAAAGATACTAATATAACACTGTATGTTAACTATTCTGGAATTAGAATTAAAACTTAGTAAAAAAAGATACTGATTCAGTAGGTCTGGGTAGGACCCAAAATTCTGCATTTTTAACAAGCTCACAGACAATGCCAATAATGCTGGCCCAAAGACCACACTTTGAGCCGTAAGGGATGAAATCTTTCTCTCAATGGATGGTTGCCCTGATTTAGACACAGTGATTTTTACTGCTAGAGGATCAGTGATAATCTTCAGCCCTGTCACCACCAATTTGCAAATCTTTGGTTATCTTGTCAAATTGAGGGCATTGGAGGATGACATGGCCATGTATCTGACGGGTGGCACGAACACCTTACCCACTCAGTTCTGCAGATCCCCTGTCCTTCCCGAGCCATGAAGGGTTGTCCTGTTTTGTTTCATGTTATGCTTGCACCTTGCCACTGTTCTTCAGGACTGTGGATTTCAGCATTCTGCCTCAGGGGTACCCCTGGCCATATCAGAAGCCCCCTCTCTGAGCCCCATGAGTTGTTCTCGTGGTCTCAGTTTCAAACCATATGGGAAGGCTGCAATATTTCCCTTTTTTAAGATCAAATGTCTTGGATTGAGGTTTACAGCATATGGGTCCAAATCATGGTTTGTGTTTAAAAAATGAACCCAGTATAACTTATGTTAAAAAAGGTTATTTGGTTGGATTTATGGACATCCTAAGTGGCATCTAAAAGTTGAGCACAGGACTTAGTATTTGCCCACATGTTCCAACATGACCACCCTGGAATCGAGGCAGAGCCTTGTTCACAGTGGCAAGCCGAAAGGGCAGATAAAGGGAAGGAGGAGGGGCTGCTGGGTGGCTCAGTCGGTTGAGCGTCCGATTCTTGATTTCGGCACCTGTCATGATCTCAGGGTTGTGAGATTGAGCCCCACATCAGGCTCCATGCTGGGCATGGCATGGAGTCTGCTTAAGATTCTCTCTCTCTCCTTCTCCCTCTGCCCCCCCTCCCCCACCGCTCACACATGCACATTCTCAAAAAAAAGGGGGGGGGCAGGATGAAAGAAGCAGAGACACAGCTTAGAGGGGCGCCTGGGTGGCTCAGTCTTTGAGCGTCTGCCTTCGGCTCAGGTCACGATCCCAGGGTCCTGGGATTGAGCCCCACATCGGGCTCCCTGCTCGGTGGGAAGCCTGCTTCTCCCTCTCCCACTCCTCCTGCTTGTGTTCCTGCTCTCGCTATCTCTCTCTGTCAAATAAATAAAATCTTAAAAAAAGAAAGAAAGAAAGAAACACAGCTTAGACAGTAGAGAAATACATCAAAAGGCTTCTAAAGAGTCATGATGATGATTGTAGAACAGTATGAGTGATATGGTCCCATTTTTGAAAAAGCTAACAAACTACCTGTGAGCATGATCAGAAAGGAAAGATGCCCACCAAATCATTAGCGGTTAGTTGGCAATTAGTGGTGGTTGGTTTATCTATACACATCTGTTTTGCTTCTTTTTTTAATCCGATTGTGTAGGGTGTATAATTTTTAATCAGCACCTACTCTATGCTGATGGAGGTCAGCTCAATAAAGGTCCCCAGAGCAATGAAGCTTTGTGGGGGGTCTTCAGCTGGGGCTGGAAGGGGGAAGGAGCTGACAAGAATAAGCAGGGGGCTTTCTATGCAGCTTTCCCATGTTCCAGAAGTTGTGTCTTCATTCAAACCCAATGGCTTCAGCAGGGATGCAAGCAGGGCGGCCAGGCTGGGGGAGCCACTGCCCAGAGCGAAGGGGGCAGGGCAGCCCTCCCACCGACACTGGCTCCAGATCTACTCTCAGAGGCTCAGTTCCCCTAAACATCCAGCTCCTTCATGGCTTGGGGAAAGCTAAGGCAGGCCAGGCTGCCTCTGTGACTTGGCAGACGCTGTCGTACAGAACAGGGAGGCCAACAGCCTGCCCTGGGCAGAGACCCAGTCGAAAGCTCTGCTTCCCTCTCTCATTTCAGTACATCCCCATGCCAGTGCTGTATGGAGTCTTCCTCTACATGGGCGTGGCCTCCCTGAATGGCATCCAGGTAAGGCTCTCCCCACCCCACCGAGCCCCAGGCTGATCTGACTGGAGTCAACTCCCCACATCTGCTGCCATATTACCGAAACCCCAAATGCTTGCTTCCGCAGTTCAGTGGGAGAATCATGGTGATAAAGATACTACCATTTACTGTGTATCAAGTAAAATCACTATAGTAGGCCCTTCATAGGGGTTCTGTAATGAAATCTGTATAAGTAGGTGCTATGATCCCTATTTTACAGACTAGGAAACAGGCTCAGGATTCACAACCCTGATGGGGCTGACTCCAATGAGCATTTCACTACATCTCTCTTCTTCTCTAAGGCAACTCCAGCGGAAGAAAACATTTTGTTTTGTTCTTTATTTAGCATGATACACCAGATGTCTTTGCTGCCTTTGTGTTGCAATTAGTTGCATTTTCCTTGAATGGGGGTTAGTGTTCCTTTGTGGCCGCCTCCAGGGCTGTACCCTGCAGGCAGGGTTCAGGCCTCCTCCCCTAAGGGCTCCCTCTGTGTCCTCCTAGACCTGCAGGCCCCCTCCTGTGCATTCTTAGTCCAGACAAGGGGCTACCTGCTATGAGACCCCACCGCATCACTCTTTCCCGCAGTCCCAAGCCCCCCGCAGGGCCACCTCCCTCACGGGGTCCCCACTGCTGGCTGAGCCTCGCGCTCTCTGCCAGTTCTGGGAACGCTGCAAGCTCTTCCTCATGCCGGCCAAGCACCAGCCGGACCACGCCTTCCTGCGGCACGTGCCCTTGCGCCGGATCCACCTCTTCACACTGGTGCAGATACTCTGCCTGGCGGTGCTCTGGATCCTCAAGTCCACGATGGCCGCCATCATCTTCCCCGTCATGGTAAGGTGGGCGCGGGCTCTCCATCCTGCTTGGCCGGTGGGGCCTGGGCAGGCGTCTCTAGGGGGGAGGTCTGCAGTCGCAGATGGCCTGACTCTCTCAGGGTCACAGAAGCAAGCACAGAACAGAACAAGATTCGGGTCGTGAGTCCAGGCCAGATAGAGCGGGGAGAGGGGGGCAGTGCAGGGGGATGGTGTGGGAGCCTGTGGGTTAATACTTCGGGAAAGCCCTGGGTGGGCCCCAAAGCCTGCAGTGCTGGACTGGGGGCCAAAGTGAGTACACAGAGGTAGGATTTGAAATGTGCCCACCTGGGATTCTCAACCCTGGGGAACCATTAGAATCACTTGGGAGCTTTTTAAAACTGTGTGCTCAGGCCTCACCCCAGATCAATTAAATCAGTATCTCTTGGGGAAACCCAGGCATTGGTGTCTGTAATAAGTCTGTAGGTGGGCATAAATGTGCAGTCAAGGTTGAGAACCACCACTCTAAGGAAAGGGAAATGAATCCTCCCCAGTAGGGCCCTCATCGGGTTTAGCGATAACAAGGGGTGCTGTTTCATTTAATCCACAGCAGCCTTAAAGTACTACTACTAACCCTGTTTTACAGGTGAGGAAACTGAGGCTCAGAGGGCATGTGTGAGTGACCCAACCCACACAACCAGAAGGAGCTGAGCCAAGATCCATACCCTCCCCCTACTGATTTTTTTAATTTACATGCAGTAAAATTCACTCTGTGGTTCTGTGAGTTTGGACAAATGCACAGATTAGTGGTTCCACAACCACAGTCATGATACAGAACAGTTCCATCATGCCTAAAATACCCTCGTGCCATTTCTTTTTTTTTTTTTTTTTTTTTTGAGAAAGAGCGTGCATGCGCATGTGCGACAACAGGAGCAAGTAGGAGAGGGACAGAGAGAGAATCTTAAGCAGGCTCCATGCCTAGCACAGAGCCCGACAGGGGGCTCGATCTCACCACCTGGGCGGAAATCAAGAGTCGGACACTTAACCGATTGAGCCAGCCAGGCACCCCCCCACCCCCTGCCATTTCTATGCAGACAGTGCCTCCTCTTCCCACCCCTACCCCTAGCAACCACTAATTTGTTTTCAGAGCCAGGATTTTTAAAACCCAGGTCTGTCCAGCTCTCAAGCTCTACTTGCTCCCAAGAAGCAGGTCAGTGAGGAACCAGAGTTAAATCCAGCTGGCTGGTTTTCTCCCTGACCTCATTTAGTGGCCAGTTCTTGGTAGTGAAGGGGCAATATTTATAACTAGTTACCCTGGGCCCATTGAATTTTTTAAAAGGCCAGTATTTAATCCTTCCCCAAAGCACACATTTTTCCCTTTGTGTATGCTGAACAGAACCAAACTTTCTAGACTTTACTGTAAAAATTCCTGCTATCCCAGTACACTTTATTCAGTGTACTTTATACTTGTTAACAGAGAGATTGGCAGCTCTCAGAAATAAGGACAAGAGGGACAGTGGGTCTCAAAGCGTGATCTCTGATCCAGAAGTATCAACATCTCCTGGGAAACTTGTTAGAGATGCAGATTCTCAGGCCCCAGACCCAGACCTGCTGACTCAGAACCTCTGGGGGTAGCCCCCAGCAATATTTGTATTAACAAGCCCTCCAGGTGTTTTGGTGGAAGCTCAAGTTTGAGGATCACTGATTTAAAGAATAACTGTAGGAGTTCTATAGCCCTTAGTCTCTACCTGGCTTCCAACCAGCTGTCACAGGCTCTGTTCCCTGGCTCATTAGTAGGCTTTGCCACTCAACTGAGGAAAGGCCAGATGAGAGGAACCAAGCGGGCAGGTGGTCAATGGTCGTTTGTCGGAGCTCTGAGATGGCTCCAAAGAGACCAGATAAAGTCCCTAAACATAGCTGACTGAGGAAGAAAAAACAATGTGTGAGTTGGGGCCTTGAGCCCATGGTTTTCTCTGAACTGTCACCACAGATCCTAGGCCTCATCATCGTTCGAAGGCTTCTGGACCTCATCTTCTCCCAGCATGATCTGGCCTGGATTGACAACATCCTTCCAGAGAAGGAGAAGAAGGAGACAGATAAGAAGAAGAGAAGGAAAGGGGCCCATGAGGACAGTGATGAGGAGGTGGGGAGGATGTGAGGCCAGGGCTGAGGGAAGAGATCAAGAAACCCTCCCTCCACTTCTGCCCAGGCCAGGGAGAGGGTGGGCTCTTTGGGTGGCCAGCTATGATCACCTGGGCCTAGTCTGGCATGAGCTGAGGCTTCTGCCTGTGTTGGTGTGGGGTGCTGAGAGCTCATCTGCTTATGGGAATATCCTCAGGGTGGGCCACAGTGAATGAGTTCCCCCCCCAACCCAGGGAAAGGCTGGTTGCCACACCCATTCTTTCCCATTTCTGTGAGCTCCCAGGGGCTGTTATCAACAAGCTGTGCAGGTCCTTGATGGAACAGGGCAGAAGACTCAGCTCCATCATGGGGGAGGTTATGAGGACTGACCTCCAAAGAATGGAGCAGGTCTCGGGGGAAGAGTCTGATGGGCACCAATTAGTAGATTAGACTCCGGGACAGGTGGAAGGACTGGGAACAAGGTTTGCTTGGCCTGCCTCTGGGGTATTAGGGAAGGTGGGCAGAGAGGCACATGTCCTCACTGAAAGGAGAGTGGCTACATTCCCCAGATGCTGGGGACCACCTGGTTGCCCCATCTACTCTTCTCTCATGCTTCCTCCTCATCCCACTCCCAAAACACTCAGGGAGTCAACAGACAGGAAGCCAGTCCAACTTAGAGTAAATCACGAAATGTGAACAGAAAGATTGTCTAGTTCAAGTGCTTATTACAGGTGATGAAACGATCCTCCAAAAGGGAAGTGGTTCACCCAAGATGGACATATGGCTAAATGTCTAAAGGGAATGAAGAAAACTCTTCCTGACTTTTAATTTAAAATTTTTTAAATTTTATTCATTTGAGAGAGAGAGCAAGAGTGGGGAGAGGGGCAGAGGGAGAGGGAGCAGACTCCCCACTGAGCAGGGAGCCCGATGTAGGGCTCGATCCCAGGACCCTGAGATCATGACCTGAGCTGAAGGCAGATGCTTAACCAACTGAGCCACCCAGGTGCCCTCTGTTCCTGACTTTGGTCATTTCCAATATGCTAAGCTGCCCGTGCCATCTAGCAACATGCCTGGCTCCCATTCTCCCAGGTCTGACCTGAACCCACATCCCTGGTATCCACCTGGAACTGTTCTAGTGATTTTGCCTTTTGCAGATCAAAGCTGTCCATAGGCAAATCCTTGCTGACTGGTGGCAATCAAACCATCTTCTGATGGTAGTGATAGACCCAAACTCCCCTGGTCCTTAATTGCTTTCCTCTTCCAGGGAGGAAGAGGCCCATCGTTCATTCACATGTTTTTCATTGATGATTTAGATGGTTTGCAAAGACAGGCCTTGAGAACAAAGAAACTGAGAGTCTAAGTGCCTTTTAAAGACAAATACTCTTTAATTGATTCATTCAATAAATATGTGAGTGGCTATGTGCCAGGAACTATCCCAGGGTTGGGGAAAAGCGTGATATATTCAATGGAAAAATGGCATTCAATTTTCACAAATCCACTTTACACATGTCTTTACAGCAACACCAGCTATTGTGTGAGACTCACTCCTGATTGGTTACTATGACAGTTGAAACTGTTCCAATCAATAATGTTCCTGGGAGAGTTCTGTCCTGTTTAGGACAGCAGGCTAACTGTGATTGGCCCTCAGTGAGCCCCAGAGTACTTGCAGCACCCCGTAACTGTTGAGACTGGAGATAGGAGGGTGGTTGGCACATTGTGGATGCATGTATTTTCCATCTTGGCAAGAAAGTCAAAGCTGTTGAATTGGTGGTGTTTATCAGCTTTTCCCACTGTTTCTCTCCAGCCCCAGTTCCCTCCTCCCTCAGTTATAAAGATTCCCATGGAAAGTGTCCAATCAGATCCCCAAAATGGTATCCACTGCATTGCCAGTAAGTAAAACACATGGTGTCTCTCCCTTCCTACTTACTACTTATTCTCCACCTCTTCCTCCAAGGAACTTCCATCTCCAACTCAGGGGGACCGAATGGTCTTAGATGCTAGAGGACTCCTCTACTAGGCAGAGTTAAATGGGAACTGGGCCACAAGGATTCAGACTTCAACCAATGGGATCCCCAAATCAAACCCTGCAGGTGCCTGTGATCAAGTTTCACTTCCATTTAGGCAGAGCCCCTCATTCCTTCCTTGCCCCTGCCCCTGGTGCCTCCTGATGCCTGTGGAGCCACCTGGTCCTCTCTTCAATGGTTTCAGACCACATGGATCCAAACATGACCCGCTGAGCCTCCCAGCCTTTCCAGTGGTTGTTGAAAATGATTGAGGGTTCAATGCCAAGCTGAGTTGTCCCCTTTAGAGAAACTGGTAGCATAGCATTTGGATCATAAATTAGCAGGGAAGGTCGTAGAAAAGTTCCTCCTGCTGAAAGGAAGGCTGCCTGGGAAGGATTGGGCATTGCTCACGAAGATCCTGGGGGGTTGTATGGCTGCCTTTACCCCCTCTGAGTTTCGGCACCCTACCAGAGGACAGTCCTGTCATCAAGACCACAGCCTATCCTTGGAATAATCAGGAAGATCCCACTTGAGTCCTGACCTCGGTGTTCCTAACGTAGGGCTTGCAACTTTCCTAAAAGTCCCAGATTAGGATCCTGCCAGGGCCCTTGAGGGGCTTCCCATCACACTCTCCATCATTAGTACTTCTTTTTTAGTTGCTAACTCTCCTTCCTTCCCCTTCCCATTTGTATTCTTCCATCACCCTTCCTTACTCTGCCCTGGCCCCCCCCAACACCCACCTATCCTGGCTGAGAGCCCTCTGGGGAAGGAGTAACTGAGCCAGAAGCCATCCATCCTGATTTCCTCTTGTGTAGTGTTGGCTGTGGGGATCAGAGAACAGGAAGACAAGAGGGAAGCACTGGAGAAAGGTCTTCTCCAGTGTCCTCCTCAAACCTGCTCTACAACTGACGTTTTAATTTTCCTGCCAGGAAAAAGATCTTCCAGTTGGAGTTACTCATTCTGATTCTTCCTTCAGTGACTCAGAACTCGACCGGAGGTAATGGCCATGAGGTAGACTCCTTGGGTATTAGGTAAGAGACTAAGCAGTGGCCAGGAAGGCGGAGGGACTAGGATTTCCCAGGTTAGCCAGTGTCTCCGTAAAAGGCCTTTGCTGGTCCACCTTGGGAGACAGGTGGTCAGACCTGATTATTAGCGTCAAGTAACAAATGTGTCCTTTTACTGACATGACATGATTACACAAAGGTCTTCTACTTTAGAAAAGGAAATTACAAAATACGTAAAATTGAAAACACTGGGGGAAAACAACATAGAGAAAAACTACACATGACTTAAGTATATATTATTGAATGCCAGGATAAATGAGCTCAAAGATCAAAACGCCAGGTACTCCCGTAGTATGTGGAATAAAGTAACAGCATGGTTAATTAGCAAAGGTCAGAAACCTAACTAAATATCAAAGATTAAGTGGAGCATGGAACTTCTGATCTCGAAGCCGTGAGTTCAAGCCCCAGGTTGGGCATAGAGATTACTTAAAAAAAAAAAAAAAATGGAGAGAATAGTCAAGAAAGGACTCCAGACCATTTCCAGGGGCCCCTGTGCCAACTGTGATACCTTAGTGTTCTTAATGAGAAGCCATGAGAAAAGTGGACAACTTTATGATTGAAAACAAGGCAGGCTCAAAACTAGAAGAGAAATCCAGGGGCAAGAAAGTCAGCCTCAGCTATTACAGGGGAAGATGGTAGGGTGCTCCTACCTAGGGCCCTAAACTGGATGGGAATCACTGTACTACATCACACATGAGCAAAAGCGTAAGCTATCCCAAGTCTACAGGTAGATAAACCTGCAGACTTAGATGCACTCATCCAAGAGATTTTAGAAAACATGCACAAGATCGTCTGAGTTAGAAGTCAAAGCTGTTACCACTTTGCCAGGATGAGAAGACAGACACTGTAACAAGCCCCCCTAAGCAGTGGACCCAAGGCCACTCCAGCCCAGGAGGGTCATGCGTCCAAACTACATCCCTGCCTGCTTTCTCATCCCACCTCCCCAGTCAGTTCCTACACCATTACATGAATGCCACGGATTTTTATATATAAAGGTGTTGGGAGAAAAGCAGTCTATCCTGATTTTTCATTTTTAAGTAGGCTACACCAAATTGAACCTCTCATTGCCCCAACCTCAGTCCGTGGAGAGAGAATACGGACCAGGACGGGGCATTTCCATATACAAACATGGGACAGCTACACTGGTGTTTTACCAACTCTGTGCAAGTAGTTGGAAGCAGAGACCACTGAACAGGATTCTATTTCAGTGAAGGAAAAGGCTCAGCAACATGATCTAGTTTAAGTATCCGAGATCTATCAGGCATGATGCTTAATCCCTGGGGGTCTAGAAAGACAGGCCTGCCAACAAAGACATACAACAGTGTGTGCTGAGAACAATGGGGCACATGTAAGAGAAAGGACAGTGTCTAAGGGAGGGATCTGCCTTATCTGGAGAGTCCAAGAACGATAAATAGGAGCCTGCCAGGTGTACAGAATAAAGAAAAGAGACAAAAGGAGGGCATTTCAGGCAGTGGGAACACACCTGAAATACTATTTGAAAATAGCAAAGACTGCTGGACTGGACGGGCAGTCAAACTAGAAGTAATCAGGAGTGCAAACATAAAGGGCCCTGTCTGGCCACACTAAGGAGCCTGGATTCTATCTCCTGAATGGTGGGAATCACAGATCTGTGATCCAGAAAGTTCGCCTTGGCAGCAATGTGAAGACCAGGCTGACACTTCTGGCGAGACTAGCTCAGCAAGCACAGCTGAAGGCCAAGTGCAGAGGATGCTGCTCATTGCCATAACGTGTTAAGAGTTCATAAGCAAGGACAAAACTACTTGCTTTAGAGCCCTCCTCGGGGGGATAGCGTGGAAAACACCAACTACTAGATAAATCACTCTCCCTTCCCTCTTTTTCTTATTTAGCATCACATTGCACTTCAAAATTTCCTGTCCAGCTTCGCCTGCTTTCAACTATTCACAGAGCCCAGTGTTCATGGTGCCACAGGTGAAGATAGAAATGGAGTCAGACTGTGACTTTACAGATGTGGACAGATACGGAAGAGAAACTGACGGAGAGACCACCCTCTAGGACGCAGCTGCGCCCAGACAGGGCTTCATCTTCACTGTGGGAGGACGTGGTTGCATCTTCACTGTGAGGTCTGGGCCAGACCCGTAACTTCTCTGAGACAGTTTCCTTATTTGCCAAACAGACGGAGTCATTCCACTTGATAGAAAACTGATCTGTGGATGAAAAGCACTACTTACATGCAAAGCTGTCTCCTTCTTTCTGCAGTTAGGCAAACCAACAGAAACATGATACCTTATTTTAAAATGCAGTCCAGGATAGAAATTATAATGTTTCTTGAAATGAAAACAATGCTTGCCTCCCAAAATATAGCTAAGATAAAGGGGGCAATAATAAATTTTTATTGAAACAAATATCTGTTAGTTTTTTTTTTTAAGCTTAGATTTTAAAATATCTAGATGGTCTTGAAAAAAACCATTAAAACACTCATACTTCAGTAGACCACAGCTGGAAAATTTGTTTTGCAACTTGACATAGTAAGAAATGAGTACAAGGCCCTATCTTCTCCCATCTCGTGCAGCTTTCTGAGGCTCCTATGGCAGGTCTGCGCCATCTGCATGCGCTGTGCACCCTGGGCCAGCACAGACATGTGACTGCAGGTTCCCCAGACTGGAAAGCCAGTTCCCAAAGTCAGCTGGTGAAAGAACCAATACATGAGAGCGAGCAAATGTTTGCAAAATAAGATTGTTCTTGTTCAAATGAAACTTCCAACCACATTACATCAACAAAATGATCCTCTTTCTACCCTTGGGTAGGTCCTGCCTCCAGGTTTTCAATGACCTTGCTCCCAAAGTTAAACTCCCAACCACAGGACCACTCCATGTTAGGCAGTGCTAATGTAAAATATTAGATTATAACTTTGCAGTATTAGATTAGTACTTTAAAGGAATGATTGGAAACAAGTTGGGTAGATTAATAACTCATTAATATAAGAAGCAAACCCTGTCCTCATGAAACTTACTATCAGTCTGTCTTTAGTCCCCACTTAACAAACACCCACCTTGCTTGTTTAACACCTACTATGTGCCTGACAGCCACAATGCAGCTGACATTTACTTTCTCCAGAACAACTATGGATTTGAATCTCGAGGAAATCACTTTGGTTAGTTACTACATTTACTCACAATGACCAAAGCAGGTGCTTTTTTTCTTCATCCTTTTCTATTTTTTAAAGACAAATGACACTAGGGCACGAGGACAGCTAACTGCATCTGCAATCCTCAGAGCTTCATACAGTGCCTGGTCCCTAGAAAACTGTACGTGTTCATTCAGTTAAATCTCAGCGCTCCCTCCAAGGGATACTGCCAAGAGGTAAAGCTCTAAACCTCTCCCGTTAACTGCTCACTCACCCAGAACGATCACCTGAATTTAAGTATAAATTCTGTATTTTCAGCTGCACCAATCCTGGGGGAGCTAACAACCCTTAACATTTCAGTTTTAAAACTTGGCTGATTTCCAATAGCACTTTGTCCAAATTAAACTGTAGAAATGTTATGGATTCCCGAGTAAATGTGCTTGATTAATGAAACAAGTTGGAAACTACAATGTTAATTTTTTGTTATTGTAAATTGATCACTGTAATTTTCACCTTATATGTCATTTATATTTTGTATATACATGAACATTTTAATTTTGACAACTTTTAACAGGTGGACATATTGTTACTTCTCCGTGCACTAGGTCAGAATTTCTTTCCACTTGTAACTGTAATTCAATAAAACTTAATCCTGTCTGCTCATCTTGCTCCATGTTTAGTAATTTTGGTCAAGTCAGCAAACATGGGATACGGACATGAGCTAACCCTAACTTACAAAAAAAAACATCTCCAGCGAACTATTCTCTTTCATCTCCAGGAAACTATCCAAAGAATAAAGGCTGCTGGCAGAAGAACAAGGAGAAGTCAGCTCCCCATTGTTCTTTTCTTTCTACCTGAAGCAGGCTGGAGCAGGAGCAGAAGGATCTGTCTGCTTGGAAGCCAAAATACTCAGCGCTGGAAGAGAACAGAGAATACACAGGGGCCTATCCCAGCCTCAAAATATGCACAGCAAATACCTTCCAATCTGTCAAATAAAACACACACATTGAAAAAATAATTGTATAGAGAGTGGGGCGCCTGAAGGGGTGGGGGTTGTCAGCAGGCACATCAAGAAGTCCTTTGCAAAGCTAACAATGTGTAAATTCAACTGCATGGTTTAGAAAACACCCAGAATAAGCCTAACCACTTAAATGAATCTTACAGATTAAGCTCCCAGCTTGGCACAGCCTGTTGGGACATCAGACTGAAAAGACTAGACTGGTTTCTCCACAGCTGCGCTTTGTATCAGTGTGTTTAAGGCACAGGATTAGGTGTTACCAAATATAGGAATATTGACACCCATTACATCTAATGAGAAAAATTAACTATGTTTAGGTCACAACCAGGACAGTAGCAGGAAGATACAGTATTTTGGAGAACTCATTCCACACCAGTCAGAAGTGTTTTATTAAAAAAAAAGTGAAACAAACACACACAAAAAAACCCTTTTAATCAGAAAGTCTGATTAAATTCAATGTGAACTCAAGTTCTCAAAAACCCATTGGGGAAAGTCAACAAATACATCTGAGAAAAGCAGGCAGCTGCTGACAAGTCTTTGGTGGAAAAGTAAGTTCATACTTAAACAAGCTGCCCTAATCCTAATGATTATCAAGCCCAAGTTTTGTTTTTCAAAAATAGGTTTCAAGATATCCCAAGGAAACCATACAGGCACCGCCAAGAGTACAAAGATGTAACAGTGAAGTTTAAGGATGGAGGAAAAGCCAAATATGACAACACACACAAATAATCTATAAAATAAAATAAGCCTTTCAGTCCTAGAGGAAAATGGGAAAGCCTCGTGAATATAATACACGTGGGGTGAGGACTGACGTGGAACTACCCTAAATATTTTCCCAATGACTAAGCCACGGAATGACAGCTCAGGACACCATCCATTCACAATTAGTTTTACATACCATAGGTATGTAAGTTACAGTAATGTTTTTTTTCTACTCAATTATCATTTCTTCCTTTTGACTTTTTCCCTAATTTTCTCTAGCAACATTTTTCCTTTGGTTTGACCAGTTGAACTCAAAAGGCTTGGAACCTAATGTGAGTATCAACTCTTATTGAAATAGCACTTAGGAAATGCAATCCTAGAAAAGGCAAATTTTAACTGAAGTGGCTTGATCAAGTTAAGCACCTGCTCTTAATGGGACGATGTCCTCCACGTTCATCACCAGGTGAACGGCTTCTCTTGGCGGGCTCACACGACCCAGCAGGAGGCCAGCATGCTCTGTGCTGAGGTACGGCAGAGCCATGCGCACAGGCACACCCCCCCCCCATTTCTGCTTTCAATAAATACAAAAAGCATCATTTTAAACCATTTCAGTAAAATAAATAAAAAATATTGCATTTCTATTGGCCTGTTTCGCCTCTCTGACCGGCTTGGAGTGGTGTTCGTGACAGAAGACACAACAGTTAATTGGTGGCTACTCCACGCTCCTTAGGCTTCAATACTTCCTGGTCTTCAAGCCTCAGCACCTTTTTTGCAGCAATAATGGTATTCTTCATCAGCATTGCCACTGTCATGGGACCAACACCCCCAGGGACTGGAGTGATGTAACCGGCTTTCTTTTTGACTCCTACATAGAAACAAGATGGGTAGACTGCCTTAATTATGGCAAAGGAAATGTATGCATCTTAATGTACCGTGGAAGAAGCATTCAAAGAAAAAGTAAGCATATACACAAGCACCTTCCTAAGCCTCAAACTCATTAAAAAAAAAAAAAAAAGTCCTATCTACATTACTCAGGGGTAAAGTCTTTTGAACGTACTAAAAAAAGAACATGCATGTAATAAGAGTTGTTCAATGAGTATTTATACATCTAAATAACCTATAACTTACCATCTATACTTTTCCTCCATATTAAATCAGTTTGAAAAGAAACACCTCAATGGGTTAACTATATGTGAGGTAAAACTATTTATTGTATTATTAATTTATTACCAATTAATACCTGCCTACAACATTTTCTTTTATTTACTATTTATTTACTATATTTATGTAACTATACTGTTTGCCCAAAGCACCAAAGCCAAGTAATTTTCTGGAAAGTGAGAAGTAAGATTTTTTCTAATCCAATCTTAAAGGAAAAATACTTAAGATACCTAGGCTTGTGTCTGATTGCTTTATTAGAAATAGAAAACTAGAAATAGGTTTACCAGCCCAAAATTGAGATAAACATGATAACTTAAGAACTGAAAGGAGAAATCTCCTAGTATATTTCAAAATCCAGGAATGTGGCTCTTTCCTGGACCATTTTTAACATTCCAGGTCTGTGATCTCTCCTCTCAATGTGAAAATGATGAATCTGTAACACCTTCTAGGAGACTCAATGGTTTCGGAAAGTCAACTCATTAAATTTTTAGACATGTTAAAAGTGATGAAATTGTTTTAATTATGAAGTAACCCTAAGGAAAGAACAAACACCTCCCTGAAAAGTTTATACCCAGTCCCCATAATTTTATGATATAAACAATTAAAATGGTTCTAGAATGACTATAATTTAAGTTTCTCTTAATTCATGTGGAATGCATTTTGAATTACCAGAGTAACATAAGATGGTTTTATTTTTTTTTTTAAGTAATTTCTACCCCCAACACACAACCCTGAGATCAAGAGTCACATGCTCCACGGACTGAGCCAGCCAGGTACCCCCAGAGTAACGTAAGTTAAAAGTAAATGATCTGTCCTAAATGTCCATTAAAGGTAGTATTTACTGATTTTATATTTTAAGAAAATTATACCATTTACCTTCAAAGTCCACATCTCCAACTAACTTGGGTTTAGCAGTGATGGGATCTTGCACTCTATTTATTCCCACATCGATGACTGCAGCTCCCTCCTTGATCATATCTGCTGTGATCAGATTTGGAATGCCTGCCAACAGAGAGAGGAATGAGAGGAATGTTCACTAGTTCTGAAAGGAAGATTCTACTTGGCAGAGTCTTCTCTGATTTCAATTTTAAGAGACCTGGAAGAACTAATTAGCTTGTTTGATGAAAACCTGTAAAAACCATTAGCCAAGAAACCACTGAAACTCCATACAGTAAACAGACATATTCAGAGGTTTCTGAAGCAACATTCACCCATCAAGTCAAGATTGGAAAGCCAGAAACCAACGCTGCATGCACCATTCTTGCCTCATCTCTGTGGGCCGCATACAATATCACCGCTAGAAGAATGGTGAATGGGTTGGCACAGAGGCAGGCAAATTCTAAGATAAGAGGTCTATCTTCACCCTTCTGAAGTGAGGCCCTTCCCTCCCCTCCCTGGGGTTCTTACCTGCAGCAGAGACCACAATGTCTGCAAGAACTGTATGTTTCTTCAGTTGTTCTTTGGGAGTGTATCGATGAGATATCGTAACAGTGGCATCACCTAGGAATTAAAAAATACATGTCTTGATTTCTGAATCAAAGCTGAGATTGAATTAGGTCTCAACTAGGCAACCCATTTTAGAAATTCACCATCTCTGAAGAAGTAATTGACTTAATTCGTGTACCATATTTTCTGGACAGCTAAGTACCAGTTACTTTTCAGCAATTAATACCTAGTTTCTTTTATTTTTTCTTAATCTAAATTCAATTAATTAACATAGAGTGTATTATTAGTTTCAGAAGTAGAGTTCAGTGATTCATCACTTACATATAACACCCAGTGCTCATTGCAAGTGCCCTCCTTAATACCCATCACCCAATTACCCCATCCCCCCACTGACCTCCCTTCCAGGAACCCTCCGTTTGTTTCCTGTAGTTAAGAGTCTCTTATGGTTTGTTTCCCTCTCTGATTTCATATTTTATTTTTCCCTCCCTTCCCCTAAGATCCTGTTTTGTTTCTTAAATTCCACGAGTGAACTCTTTAAGATAATTGTCTTTCTCTGACTGACTTATTTCACTTAGTATAATACCTTCTAGTTCCATCCACAAGGTTGCAAATGGTAAGATCTCTTTTTTGATGGCTGAGTAATATTCCATTGTATATATATACCACCTCTTCTTTATCCATTCATTTGTCAATGGACATTTGGGCTCTTTCCACAGTTTGGCTACTGTGGACATTGGGGTGCAGGTGCCTCTTTGGTTCACTATGTTTGTATTCTTTGGGTAAATACCCAGTTTCTTATAACTTTTATTCCCTCATCCTAGCTCCACCCTTTAGAATCATTTAAAATTAAATTTATTCCTTATCCTATTTAGCAGCCTTTCAGGAATCTTACCTTTCCTAAGCAAAATATCACTAGAATTATTCAAGATTTAAAACTTTTTTTCTATCAAGTGACACAGAATGGGATGCTATGAACTGTTTCTTAGTTCAAACTATCAAAGCCATAACTGAAAATGTCTATTTGCCTACAACCATGCTTATATTCAAAACTCAAATATATTTCTGAGGCATATCCATTTCTGTACTAGTTCCCTAATAAATGAATATAAATAGTCTCAGGTGACAGGAGGAGTTCAGCTTCTCCTACAAAGATTACTCCCCAAATATCTGCTAACAAAATTACAACAAATACAAAGTTTAACAAACACAGGGCACCCTGCAAAGGTTCGCACATAAGGGAGCAGGGAACACTCCTCTGAAAGCCATTTCCTTACCTCCAGGACGTTCGTGCGCCCCATCTGTGTGGAGCAGCATGGCAATGGGCATTCCAACATTTTTTGACCTCCCAGCCACAACCACATTCTTCCCTAGGGTTGGAATGCCTATGAAGAAATATATATAAGGAGTACCAGACTATGTTAGAAGGAGCACCAAAGAAGGCAGACAGAGGGCCTAGGACATGAATCTAATGGTGATAAGGAAGGGAGTTACTAAGCTTGTTACCTCAACAGTCAAGGGGGCCCATCACTTGCTACACACATCCTGAAGACTAAAAGAACATGAGAGAAAGCACCCTGGAAGATACAAAATATTATATGAGTGTGCACTATCAACCCAATGAAACCTTAAGTTTCCTTTGCAGAGGCTTCCGGATTAAGTGGCAACAAAGTCAATAGAGGCAACCACAGGAGAGGCAGGCTCTGGGGGCAGGACTGGAGGACGTGGGGCCCAAGTGTCCACTCTGCAACTGTAGGCACTGTTACCACTGGCAAGTACTGGTTTCATGATCCTAACACAGACATACAACTATGGGATATACCTACCAGTTCGCTTAATTATTTCCCAGACACCCCACGGGGTAGCCGGTAACATGGAGTACTGGTCCAGACACATTCGCCCTACGTTAATTACATGAAAGCCATCAACATCCTTGTCTGGGGAAACAGCGTTGCAGATCTTTCGCTCATCGATGTGCTCTGAAAGAGAGATCAGAGCAGCGGCCTGAGGTCACTGTCACCTAGTTGGCACCGCCTGACTCCAGCTTAGCTGGTTTATTGCACAAACCCGTTCCCCTTCCATGACTGGCCTCCGTGATTGATTTCTTGGTCTGCACAGAAGGAACACAAACCAGGCAAAGCCAAATGCCAGCATCAAAGGCAGTAGCCTCTTGTATGACTGCTTCCCTCCACTGCCATTTTGTATCAAGATGTCACTTCCGAGTCAAGGAGTAATTGGTTTTCTTTTTTTTTTTTTTTAGTAATTGGTTTTCTGAGTAGGTCGGTGCATACTTAGTAAAATATTCACTCTCTCGAGTTTACCTCCCCTTTAAGTCAGATCCACAAGGGGCCAGGTGTATAAAGTAGCTAAGAATCCTCTATTCCTCAGAAATCATTCTAAGTGATAGAGCCCAAAACTCACCTGGAAGAGGCAGCTGAACAAGGAGGCCATCTACATTATCATCATTATTTAGTTTATTGATTAAATTCAACAGTTCTTCCTCTGAAATTGAAGCTGGTTTCACAATTGTCTCACTGTTGATTCCTATAAGAAAATTCCAAGGTTAAAAAAAATATATCGAGGCATTTAATGAGCAACGCTATGTTGCCTGCCATGGTATTCTAACATAGAGTTAGAATATGATACCCAACCCTGGTAGCTAAAAAGCCCCAGTCAGTTCCCAAGGCACCTAAAAAATTAACTTCACAAATATACACTCTAGAGAACGTTGGCTCAACAATTATCTACATTATTCTACACTATCCTCATGAGCCTCAATTTACAGAAAAGGAGACAGAGGCTCAGCAAAATTGAAACACAAGCCATCTAGTGATGAAGGCAATCCTTCCAGTTTTGGAGTCCATGTTCTTTCCACCGCACTGTGCTTCCTCCCAGTGTCTTAAAAAGCCATAGCTTGCCATTTTCTAGAGTTTCTAAAGATTTTTCAAAGAAAAGGGCAGGAGGCCTCAATCCTGTGATACCAAGGACTCACGGCCCAGTCAATGGCCCAGCCGCCCCAGTGGTTTCACAGCCTTTCAGAAGGAAGGGCACCCAGGTCTCATACCACCAACCCGCAGAGGAGCAGGAAGAGGCAGAGCCAAGCCCACCCACCCCAGATCTACCATCACACAGAGTCAGTGGTACAGTGAGACCTCGAACACGAACTTCCCATCACCCAGACCCTCAGTTTTTGCATTCCAAACTCTAACCACTGCGTAATTTTTTTTTAAGATTTATTTTTATTTATTTCAAAGAGAGAGAGCATGCGAGCAGGGGGAGGGGCAGAGGGAGAGAGAGAGAAAATCCTCAAGCAGACTCCCCGCTGAGTGTGGAGCCTGATGTGGGGCTCAATCCCAGGACCCTGAGACCATGACCTGAGCTGAAATCAAGAGTCAGCCACTTAACTGAGTCACCCAGTTGCCCCCCACTGCATCATTCAGTTGGCTGTGGACCCAGTTGGTAGAGAAGCCAAAAGCTATTTCCCAGAAGTCAGTCATTTCCTTCAAGCCTAGGACTGTTTTCTAGGCCACATCACTGAAGCCTCCCCAGCCAAATGCTCAAACATCTCAGCCAGACTCTCATGTCTGTCAAGGAAAGCAAATATAAAATGTGTTCAAGGTCCCTTGTCTAATGTTAAGACTAAAGACGGAATTTAGCTTATATTCCAGAAGACACCGAGAATACCAACCATATTCCTTCCATCCTAGTTTATAAGCCTCCCCAGCAGATAGGCCTAATTTCTTTATGACCATATTTTGGATACAGTTCAATCCCATCAGCCTCCTCTGTTTGAGTCTTCTAAGCAGAATAAAGACTCATGAGTGCCAATGGAGTTTGCCGCAATTTGACGGCAGCCAGGGTCTGCGAGTGACACATACCCACTTCTGCAGCGGCCCGGGTTTTGTTGAGGACGTAGGAATGACTTGCGGGATTCTCGCCCACCAGAACCACACTCAGGTGCGGCCGCTTGTTGCCCGAAGCCACCCATTCTTCCACTTCCTGCCACACTTCCCGCTTGATCTGCTGGGCCAGTTTCCTTCCAGAAATGACAACGGCTTCATTTCTGCAGAAGGCAACAACAGTCACAAAACCAAATAGCTTAAATTTTTGTGAAAAGTAAAGATCTGACTACAAAAAAAAAAAAAAAAGGTTATTAACTACTCCAAACTTAAAGAGTAGATTAAAACACATGGTGCCTAAGCTGAGGGACAACGGAAATCTGAAGGGCAGTTTCAGAGTGGTAAATCTGTGTCCAGCTACATGTTTGGGGAGATAACGTTGACTGAAATACTATCATTACCCTGAAGCTTGGAGAGCTTAAGTGAGTGACAGCTAGTACTTGGCAAAGCTGGCCCTCATACTCAGCTCAGTCTGAATCCAGAGTCCAGGCTCTTACCACTATATCATCCAGACCCCTGATCATTGACACACTGATAGACCCCTCCCCCCCCAAAAAAAGTTTTCCACTGTTTTATTTTGCATTGTTTTATCTGACCCGTCACCACTATGAGGTTAGTGTGTCCTATATGCTTATATACCATTTTGTAGTTTGTGTTTTGCCTATGTTATTAGCATCCAGCCATGTGTTTCAAACCATTTCCCAGTTAAGTCAATTGGCTTTTTAATTTCCTTTTTTTTTAAGATTTTATTTATTTATTTATTTGACAGATAGAAAGACAGCGAGAGAGTGAACACAAGCAGGGGGAATGTGGGAGAGGGAGAAGCAGGCCTCCTACTGAGCAGGGAGCCCAATACGGGACTCGATCCCAGGACCCTAGGATCATGACCTGAGCCGAAGGCAGCCGCTTCACCTACTGAGCCACCCAGGCACCCCTGGCTTTTAATTTCTATGATGTTTTCAAATATATAAATTATGTCATGCAATTAAACGAACAGACAATGTTTTGGACAGGTCAAACCTCAAAATTACCACTGCTCCCCACAGCCCCTCCCGGAGAAGACTTTCCCAGTAAGAATAAGGAAGTTCCATGCCATGGGTGGCGGTGTGCTGCTCTACCCTGGGACCCCAGTGGCCTACCCACAGATGACAGATCAGGAATGAGTATCGGACGCCAAGGACAATTTCTAGGCCAGCCAGTGGTCCAGTTGGTGCACAAGCTCAGAGCAACAGGAGCAACAGGTAAACTAGCCTGGTAAGAGCTTCTCCCTGAAACACATTCACACACTAGAACCACAGAGGACCTGTTGGTGGGAGGAGCTGAAGACAGACATAGAAAAAAAGTAGAGACAGAGAATAACAGTCACACTCACGGTAGGACAGAGCAAGAGATGCGGAAACTGCTCCTGATGGGCAAGGAGAAAACTCAGGGTCTAAAAGAACTTCCAGTTCCCAAAACCATGTTCCGATCTCTGAAAGACCACTTCTTCCCAATAAGAACTGTTTATGCAGCTCTTCCTGGGTTCTAACGTGGAAGATTCCTGGTTTTCTTATTTCCATACATGGCCTTATAATAAAGTTCCCAATACTTAATGTAGGATGAGCAACTGCTCTTTTAGCATAAAGGTCTAGTGGAAAGAAGTCTTTCCCTTTTGTTTTCTTTCTTTCTTCAGTATCACGAAGAATGCTTCAATCTCAAGACCAATGAAACACACAGTTGTCTGAAATATTGAAAAAATTTCCCCTAATAGCACATATTTAATTCTCAGGGATAACACCAAGGTACTCGATATCCTGTATGGTCAGATATGATTCATTTTTTTTTTTTTTTTTTTTTTGATTTTTTTTTTAAGTAACCTCTACGCCCAACATGGGGCTTGAACGTACAAACCCGAGATCAAGAGTCGGACACTCCACCGACTGAGCCAGCCAGGTATGATTCATTCTTAAGACCACTGTTAATTAGGGGCGCCTGGGTGGCTCAGTTGGTTAAGCGACTGCCTTCAGCTCAGGTCATGATCCTGGAGTCCCAGGATCGAGTCCCACGTCCTGCGTGGGGCTCCCTGCTCAGTCGGGGAGTCTGCTTCTCCCTCTGACCCTTCCCCCCTCATGTGCTCTCTCTCCCTCATTCTCTCTCTCAAATAAATAAATAACATCTTTAAAAAAAAAAGACCACTGTTAATTAAAATGGAATTTTATTTTATCTTTTTTAAAGATGTTATTTATTTATTTGACAGAGACAGCGAGAGAGGGAAAACAAGCAGGGGGAGTAGGAGAGGGAGAAGCAGGCTCCCCGCCAAGCAGGGAGCCTGATGCAGGGCTTGATCCCAGGACTCTGGGATCATGACCTGAGCCGAAGGCAGACACAACGAATGAGCCACGCAGGCACCCCTAAAATGGAATTTTAAAGCTTCAACAGTCTTTAAACCTTCCATGCTTCTTTTCCATTAAGATTAAACACCTGCTTTAAACCAGATTGAAATGTCTTATATATAAAGCAGTAATTTTTTTTTAAAGATTTTTATTTATTTATTTGACAGAGAGAGAGAGAGACAGCGAGAGCAGGAACACAAGCAGGGGAGAGAGTCAGAGGGAGAAGCAGGCTTCCTGCCGAGCAGGGAGCCCGATGTGGGACTCGATCCCAGGACCCTGGGATCATGACCTGAGCCGAAGGCAGACGCTTAACAACTGAGCCACCCAGGCGCCCTAAAGCAGTAATTTTATATCTAAACTTTATATTAATTTGTATTTGTATCTTGGAAGTTTTAAAAAGATAAAATTTTATAGCAAACAGCACTTTTACCCAAATTTTATGTAATGATACTAGCATAGCACAAAATATATAATAGCATTTCACATACACCCATGGTATATTAAGGAACTGAAAACATGTTAACATTCAAAATCAGTTTTAAAACTAGAGTTGAAGGGGACTTCATTCAAAGGGCTTTGGACATAAACACCTCTGGCAACACTCCTGGGAAATAGCCCCAGTACAGAGATATATTCCCAACCCTGCAATGCTGTAGAATGAAAGATTACTTTAAAAGAGTTTACTACAGTGATTTATAACGAATGAAATAACACGTATAAAGTGCAAGGCATATATAGTCAATAAAAATTAATTTCTTACTCTCTTCCATTGGTTAGATTTATAAACACACACGCATATCCTTAATATATAACATATATCTTTACTTACTCATAAGGATATGTGTGTAAACATATATATACACACATATAAATATTCAGTAAAGTCTTAAATCGCATTTCATTAAAAAGTTCCTTTTGAGGTGGCTAGTGAGTTAAGCTCAGGTGGTGATCTCAGGGTTGTGTGCAGGGCCCTGTCAGGCTCCACCCTTGTCTCTCTCCTTCTGCTCCTCCCCCACCCCACCCCACACTCTCTGACTCTCTCAAATAAATAAATAAAATATTTTTTAAGAAATTGAAAGCCATGAACTTAGACAAAATGGTAGCAGCACATTTGGGCTAAGACTGATCTACTACAGTTAAGAACACAGGGTTCTGGGAGAACCCAGTGTTCAAGTCCCAAAGGCAGGTTCTGGATGTTACGCCAATTAGCTTTTAAAAAAAACTGTCAAAGAGTAACTAGAACCAAAAACAAAGCAACAACACAATGAGTATCTTCTGTAATATCAGCTGTTTTAGCCCTCCTCTGCATATACAACTCTGCAAAATGTGAAACAGTCCTGCCAGTGAGTCATTACCTCATTTCCCATCATCTCTTTTGCCAAAGGGCAGATAAAGTAACTGCTACCTCAAAAGAAACAAAAATAGAGGCTCAGCTCAGTCCCACAGGGAATCCAAAACTATTAACTATATTAGCTAACACTTATGTAGGAATTAAATGCTTTTCACAGATGTGTTTAATAATGGGTTAAAATTATGAATGAGAATAAAATAAAATGAGTGAACAGACGAAAAAAGCCACAAGGACTGTTCAAATAAAATTCAAAATCCAGCTCAGTAGCATCTTCGCTTTCCTAATTCAATAGCGTACAGCACTGTAATTTTCCATAAAAACAATTATCAGGTGCATTTTACAGTTCATGATCAGGTTATTCTGGAAAGGGTTCGGTTATCTACTAATTAATTACAAACAAAGGGGGATGGAACTAACATCTATTAAACACTAGGTATTTTGCTATGAGTTTTACACACATTACTCTCATTTACCTTGGGGTTATTATACTAACTAACTATAATACTATTATACTATTATTATACTATAATAGTATAAGAGCATACTATTATACTATAGAAGGGGAAAGTGAGGACGGTAGAAACAAGATTCAAACACAAACAAACCTCTGCCTCCAAAGTCCATTTTTCCCTATCCCCCAGTCTACTATAGTACTCTCTCTCCAACCATGAGTTTATGTTCCTGAAACCCTCCCCCATCAAAAGGAATTCATGCAGACTCATAAAAGATATTATTGTCTTACATTTGCTAGCCAGCAGTGATCAAAGCAATAAAAGGAAACCATAAATACCATAGTATTGCCTTCAGAGATGTGGAAGTCTACTTGTTCATTCAGAAACGTTAGTGAAAGGAGGGCATCTGTTACTGGAGAGTGAACAAACTGGTCCAGTTTTCTAAGTGATGAATTAGACGATCTTTACAGATCTCTTCAATCATGAAAGCCACAGGCACACGTGGCCAGAACTCAGGAAGGGAGCAACGGGGAAGAGAACAGACAGTAATGAGGGATGGGGCTGAAAGGCAGGTCAGGGTCAGAACAAGAAAAGCCCTGAGTGTCCCGGGTCTTCTTTCAAGAACGCATTAACCCTCATTCTGTGCTACGACAGCATCTTGGCAATGTTTCTAACATTTTTTTTTACACTGAGTGGAAAGTACACACGTGTTCTGCCCCTTGACAGCTAAGGGAGTTCCACTAGGAAAGAGGACTTATGATCATCCCTGAATTCACACAGCCTAGCCAAGTGCCAAGATGAAAGAAGGGGCTGCTGTTACAGGGCTCAGCTCGCTGGCAACGCAAAGGCTCTAAAGATGGGCCAGAGAGTGCGCAGATTTAGGGAGAGAAAGCACAGGCCCCCAGAAGACTCTTCAACCTAGGTTTAAGAATGGGAGTTTGAGGTCTAGAAAGATCAGGAAAAACCCATTACCTCCCTAAGAAAAGGCAAACAGAGCTCTTCCCTCCTCCCCTCGGGTATTTTTCCCTTCAATTTACCAGCCTGGCAGTGACTAGCTCCGGGTGGACCGCATCAAAGCCCTGGTGACCCCAGCACATTTATTCTCTTGGCAGGGGAAGGGGCAGCTTGGAGAGCTGCGGGAGCCACATCCACCTCCCGAAGGAGAAGGGAAGAGCGGGTACCCGGCGAGCAAGCCGGCTCTGGGATTTCGTCAGACTGCACCAACCTCCTCCGCCGCTAGGATCCCGACGCGCACTGAAAGCTGCTCATTCAGAGTCCTTCCCGGCGCTCGCCGAAGCGTATCCTCTGCTTGGCCAAGCGGCTCCGCAACACCGCCAAGGGCGGCCGGCAGGTTCTGGCCGGTAACCTCCGTACGGTCCCGCGTAAATCCGGGCGCCCCAGAGCCCGCCTGCGCCTTCGCTCCGCACCGTGGGCCCCGTCCCGCCTACGGACTGGCCCCGAGAGAGGGCGACGCCCCGGGGCTGCGGAGACCCGCTCCCTCTGAAAGGCGGGCTCCGGGCATCAGCCCGCCCCACGGAGCGAGCGCTCAGGTCGCAGACTGCGGCCGCGCTCGGCTGCCACGTCGCCCCGTCACCGCCCGGGACAGAGATGCTCGGTAGAACGTCCCTCGGCGCCCCTTCGGAGCCCGGGCGGTCCCCCCACCCTCGGTTCCCCTCGGTTTTCGGCGCTGACCCAGCTCCAGGACCCTCTTACCGAACTACCGAGAGGTGGATGGGGCGATAACGGAGGCGGCAGCTCTGAGCGAGCCGGAGGAGCCGGGTGGCCAACGTAGACACGACGGAAACAGCGGCCATCACCCGCGCCAAGGTCCGCGCCAGGAGAGAAGCGCGCGCGCGGGCCGTGCAGTTATACCGCGGCCGCGTGGCAGGCCCCGCCTTCCGCCCGCACCCATTGGCCACTTCCCAGCAAAGCCCTGCTTGTGATTGGAGCAAGAAGAGCCAGCAGGGGAGCCCTGGAAGGCTCGGAAGCCCTGGTAGCCTGCAGAGATTGGCCGAGGAAGGCAAGCCCCTGCCCGACGCAGCGGGTGTCACGGAGGCCGGGCCAGCACGAGTGAGAGTTTGTTCATTCATTGCTTGAAGAAATACCTGAGCGCCTACTGTGTGCCAGGCAGCGTAAAAATGGAAAAAAGATAGGCAAATAGAAGAATAATGGAGTTAGAAAGAAACTATTTGACGAAATCACAGTAAAAACGGATCATCAATGGATGTCAAAACAACTGGATGAGGAACAGGTATGTACTTACTGGGTTGCCAGATCTTACAAGTAAAAATACAAGACACTCAATTAAATTTGAATTTTAGATAAATAACTTAGGAGGAGGGTCATACTTGTATTAGGATAGTATTCGATGGTCATCTGAGATTAAAATTAAACCGGGCTTCCTGTATTTTATCTGGCTACCCTTTTTTGTAGTGTCAAAGTATCTCTCCCACAATATACTTATTAATAGTAAAGGGGGAAAATAGTAAATTTACAACAGGGAAACCTGAAAGTCATGACCTTAAACGAGTGATCAAAGTTAACACCATCGGTAATGGAACAGACACGCACTATGACACATTGAGGAGGGCACATCACTTCCTAACTCTTCACAAGTCTGAAAATTGAATGAAGTGATTTTTTCCTAAACCATTAAGTCCCCTAAAAACTATTACAGATTTTTCATTTACACACTGAGAGGAGAGAACAAAGACCTGGAATATTAAAACAGTCTAGGAAAAACCCATATTCCTGAAATTTTGGAATATACTGGTGGATTTTAATCTAATCACAAGGAAGTATCAGACAAGCCCAAACTGAGAGACATTCTACAAGAAAAGCAGCCTGGGGGCGCCTGGGTGGCTCAGTTGGTTGAGCGACTGCCTTCGGCTCAGGTCATGATCCTGGAGTCCCGGGATCGAGTCCCACATCGGGCTCCCTGCTCAGCGGGGAGTCTGCTTCTCCCTCTGACCCTCTTCCCTCTCGTGCTCTCTCTCTCTCATTCTCTCTCTGTCAAATAAATAAATAAAATCTTAAAAAAAAAATCTTTAAAAAAAAAAAGAAAAGCAGCCTGTACTCTTTGAAAAAATGTCAAAGTCATGAAAAACAAAGCATGAGGAACTGTTCTAGATTAGAGAAGTCTAGACATGACAAATGTAATGTGTGATTTGGAACCAAAAAATTATTTTTCTTTCTCTTTATTTCATTTTTCTTTTTTTTTTAAGATTTTATTTGTTTATTTGAGAGAGAGAGGAAGTGAAAGCGAGTGAGCCTGAGTAGGGTGAGGGGCAGAGGGAGAAGCAAGACTCCATGCTGAGCAGGGAGCCTGATGGGGGGGGGCGGGGAAGAGATCCCAGGACCCTGGGATCATGACCTGAGCGAAAGGCAGCCACTTAACCGACTGAGCCACCCAGGCGCCCTCCTTATTTCATTTTTCTTTTTCCTTTCTCTTTTCTGTAAAGGATATTACAGGACAATTGGCAAAATATTAATAAAGTCTGTAGATCAGCTAATAGCATGGTATTAGTGTTAATTTACTGCTTTACCTAACCATATTGTGGTTACATAAAAGAATGTACTTGGCTTTAGAAATAGAGACATCATGTCTTCAAATGGTTCAGAAAAATATATATATATAATATAACATAGCGTAATATAATACAGTTGACCTTTGAATAACAGGGGGGTTATGAGTGCACACCCCCACATATCAAAAATCCTTATATCACTTTTGACTCCCCAGAAACTTAACTACTAATATCCTACTGTTGACCAAAAGCCTTACTGATAACATAAACAGTCAATTAACATATATTTTATGTTATATGTATTATATCCATATATTTTTTTTACAATACAGTAAGCTAGAGAGAGGCCCCTGGGTGGCTCAGCTGGCTAAGTGTCTGCCTTCAGCTCAGGTCATGACCCCAGGGTCCTGGGATTGAGTCGCGCATCGGGCTCCTTGTTCATCGGGGAGCCTGCTTCTCCCTCTGCCTCTGCCTGTCACTCCCTCTGTTTGTGCTCTCTCTCTCTCTGACAAATAAATGAATAAACTCTTAAAAAAAAAAAAAGTTAAGCTAGAGAAAAGAAAATGTTATCAAGAAAATCAAGGAAGAGAAAAATACATTTCTAGTACTCTACTGTATTTATCGAAAAAATTCTACATGGTGGACCCAAGCAGTTCAAACCCATGTGGTTCAAGGGTCACCTGTATAAAGACTGATTTGTTAAGGGTGCCATAACAGAATATCGCAGACTGGGTAGCTTAAACAACAGAAATTTATTTTGTCCCAGTTCTAGAAGCTGGAAGTCCATGATCAAGGTGTTGGCAGGGCTTTTTCTCTCTTGAGGCCTCTCTCCTTGCCTTGCATATGGCTGCCCTCTCGCTGTCCTCTCATGGGTTTTCCCTAAGGCAGTACACCTCTGCTGTCTCTCTCTGGATACCTTAATCACCTCTTCTTATAAAGACACCAGTCAGATTGGATTTGGAGCTACCCTAACCACCTCATTTTAACTTCATTATGTTTTTAAAGGCTCTATTTCCAAATACAGTCACATTCTAAGGTACTGGGGTGAGGGATTCAACAAATGAATTTGGGGAAAGGCACACTGCAGTCCATAACAATGTATATACATAAAGAGAAACTGATACATCATATGGCAAATGTAACATATTAACAACTAGGAAGTGGGTGAAGAGCGTTCTCTGAACTTATGGGTCTGAAATTATTTCAAATTAAAAAAAGAAAAAGACCAGTGGGGCACCTGGGTGGCTTAGTAGGTGAAGCAGCCGACTCTTGGTTTTGGCTCAGGTCATGATCTCAGGGTCTGGCTCCCTGCTCAGTGGGGAGTCTGCTTCAGGATTCTCTCTCTCCCTCTGCCCCTCCCCCCACTTGCTCATGCTCTCTCTCTCAAATAAATAAATAAATCTTAAAAAAAAAAAAGAACAAGTAAAAAAAGAAAAAGACCCGTAAGATTTCTACCCTCATGGCACTTGGGGATAAGGCAGATATACAGTGAACAAGAAAAGAAAGTAAGGGAAAAAATGTGGTACTGAGAACCTTCAAGACAACAGATGTGAACGAATGGTATTGTGCTTAGAAGTAAGGATATAAAAATGTCAAGTAAGATGCAAACTCAGACTAACCAGATTTCTAGCCCAGTGGGATGGAAGACAAATTGTTAGCAGTTAAGTGGTAAGTGATAGAGGTATGCCCAGAGGACTCTGGGAGCTTAGCAGCGGGACCCATAATTCATGGCAAATTCCTCTTCTTGCCTTTAGACTGGAATTGCCTCTGTGGCCATAGTGAAAGTGTAGGTGGGGAGAAGGAAGCCAAGGAGTATGTCCAGCCTTTTTAGCAGGGCCTTCAACAAGGAAAAGGAGCCCTAGAGGTTCACAGGCAGTACATCCTAGCTCCTAAAAAGTTGGGAATGGGGCACCTAGGTGGCTCAGTCAGTTAAGCACCTGACTCTTGGTTTCAGCTCAGGTCGTGATCTCATGAGTAGTGGGATCAAGCCCTGAGTGGGGCTCCACACTCAGCGGGGAGTCTGCTTGAAAGATTCTCTCCCTCTGCCCCTCCCCCTGCTCATGCTTGCGCGCTCTCTCTCTCAAAAGTAAATAAATAAAAAAATAAAAAATAATTTTAAAAAGGGATCTTGTGTTTGGAGAATACCAGCCTCAGAATTTCCAAGATTTAGGTTCTTTCTTCAGTTCTCTTTCCTGTCTTTTGAACTAGGGGTCCTTCAGTTTAAGGGATTCCTCTGTATCTGGGGGAGTCAGTGTGGTACCCTGAAATGATGCAACTCAGTTTTCTTCTAATTTCCTTTTTTTTTTTTTGAAGATTTTATTTATTCATTTGAGAGAGAGAGAGAGCATGAGCAGAGGGGAGAGGCAGAGGGAAAGGGAGGAGCAGACTCCCTGCTGAGCAGTTAGGCCAACACAGGACTCAATCCCAGGACCTAGAGACCATGCATGACTTGAGCCAAAGGCAGATGCTTAACCATCTGAGTCACCCAGGCGCCCCTAGAATTTCAAGGAGAAGTAAGTAAACCTGACTCTATTGGCAGGAAAGGAAAGGGGACAGAGAGTGAGAGGTTGGGGAAAAAGGGAACTAAATTCATAGACCATTAGCCACATGCCAGGAACTGTGCTAGATACTTCCCCTACATTTGCTCAAATAATCCTATCATTCCTATGATGTCATTCTATTATTATTTCTATTGTAGAAGAGACAAATTTACAAATTTAATGTAATTTGCCCGTGATCACCAGCTAGTAACGGCAGTGCCGGGATTAAACATAGGTGTGTCTTCATCCAGAACCAATGCCCTTCCACAAAACATGTCTATCACTGTTTTGTTAGGTCAGACAGAAGACAGGGCATCTGGCAGAATATGGTGGCCAGAATGTAGAACAAAGAATCCTGACAAGGTTACAGAACATTTAAGGACATGATTCTCCCGGAAGCTTATACTCTAACAAGCCTTCCTTTGTTTCCTTTTCTTCTTTGTCTTCTTCTTCCTCCTTCTTTTTATTTTCTTTTTTGTTTTTATGGCCAGCTAAAAAGAACTCATGAAATTTTTACCATTTACAAAAATGATTTTTTTTTTTTTTTTAAATAGAGATGATAGGAGTGCCTGGGCGGCTCAGTGGGTTAAGCATCTGCCTTTGGCTCAGGTCATGATCCCAGGATCCTGGGATCGAGCCCCACATCGGGTTTACTGCTCAGCAGTATGTTTCTCCCTCTGCCCCTCTACCTGCTTGTGCTCTCTTTCTCTCTCTCAGATAAATAAATAAAATCTTATTTTAAAAAATAGAGATGATACTTTACCAGAGTGGTTAAAAATA